GGACAAGTACCTCTGAATTCATTTGTATTACATTAATTTGGATAAATTCTAAATACAATTTATTTGAAATAAGGATGAAAACGTGAAACTTGAAAATTTTGGACAAATACAGAGGATAAATAACATGCAGTAGCTTAATTAAAACAATCTTTTACACAGTATAAGAGGAGTAACTCTAACTTTTTTTATTATGCTATTCCACCCAAAACAAAAAACAAACAAAAACACGTTTTATTGTCATAATTCAATTTCTGGACTAAAATGGACAGTGTACGAGCATCAACTTTGCAATGTTTGAAATGTACTCAAAAATTTATCGTCAAGAGCCTAAATTCATTATTATGTTGTTTTCTTCGTCTTCTGTGCAAATAACAGCCTAAGAGAGGTAACTCTAGCTGTTGCTCTTAGAAAAGATCTGTTTTTCACTGTTTTCAATACTTGCTAATGTAGTTGATGCGCTAAAAAATTCAATTCGTATGATTGATATATCTATAATATATAGATGAACAATATTTTAACAACAACAAAAATGCATATATCATCGACTTAAATATTTTAAAAGAAACTGCCAAGATCTACAATTTAATCATTGCATTTAGTCAGACATTGTCAGGTCATAGGCAATATGATACTTAACTTTTCCTGTTCTTATTTAAAGAGCTGCAAACAATAGTATTGTTCTCCCGCCTACCTCCTAGTCAATTTTAAAAAGTTAACATATTCCATGAATTTTTAATATTGTTTTTGGATAATTACATGGATTTTCAAAACATTAGATGTTTGTAAAACACTTATGCATAACTTTAAAAGTCAAATTGGAATTTTTGATATCCAAAGAAAGTTCTGTAACAAAGCATATTTATGTGAAGTACATGTATGAAGGTCCTATCACCAATCGATCAAAAGTTATGGCCAAAGAAAAGGTTAGGAATTTTGCTGTAAAAGTGTGTCAAACTCCAAGGTCACGAGGTCAAATTTGGTGTTACCCAGAGAAAGGTCTTGTCCTAGATTTTCATGTGATATATCTGTATATAAAATTTATGGCCAGGGTTAAAAATTTTGCGGATAAACAGACAGACAGAAATCAGGGCAAAAAAATGGGTATTTTTCCGAAACTTCAAAGGGCCATTACGGGGGTCAAAAATAGTTATGTATGATTTCTTGAAATTTATTTGTGTATGTGATATATCATGTATATAAAATTTTATTCGGACAATATTGAACTGACTTTAATTTTTAGTAGATTTGCGGGCAAAACAGACTTAGAATTTGATGCAGAACGGAATTTTCTCTGATTATACTAAAATTTATATGAATGCTGCATTAATTAAGACGAAAATAGTATACCGTTAACTATATTTAATGATTTTCATACATTGGGCAAGAAAGATAACTCTAATGTACACAATGGCTGGTGAGTACTAGTACCGAGTGCCCTCAGCTCTTGTAATATTATCCGGAAAGTAAACTTTAAGGTATATACAATTTCCTTAGTTATATTGTTCTGAGTATTTCATGAAATTTAGTCTGGTACCACGAACCAATGCAACGCATAGCATTATTCACGTTTTTGTACGCCTTTTCAAGTGATTTTTTAAGTATTGAGTCTAACCTCACTGTCAATTACTCACAGTTTTCAGAATTATACCGATATCGGAAATAACCACTGCACATGTACATGTAAAACTACTTGAGGTATAAAGGTGGTATCTAGCCCACGGTGCTGTAGAACTTTACAACGTACACATACACCTAGGATTATTTATGATTAGAATTGTAGTAATAACATTTGACAAAACATCGCTAGATCTAGAACATTTTAGAAAGCCCTTTTTTTTAAATAAATGATTGTATTTTATGTGATGCTTTGCGGGGAAAATTTCAGTGCATGGCCCAACTTCAATAAATTTGAAACCGATTCTATATATATATATCCCTTTCTGCAGAAGGATAAAATATGCAACTTTACGAGATTTCTCTAGATAAGCGCAGTCTTATCCGCTTTGCATATTTGATTTTTTGCCCCCGTAAACGAAGTTTTTGGGGTACATAATGTTTGCCCTCTCCGTCCGTCCGTCTGTCTGTCTAATTGTCCGCAAAAAAACTTTAAACTTGCCCTTAACTTTTGAGTGGGTGGGACTATGGCTTTCATATTTCACAGGTGCATTCCTTTATTCCGGGAATTTTGTATGACAATAAGTAACGCCTCATCATAGTTAGAATAATTTTAAATTATTTAAAAGAAAATTTTAAGAATTATTCATTACTTTAGATAACATAAATGATTTTATTTTTAATTTAAAGTGAACATGACATCGAGAAACCGCCAATTTCTTTGCGACATAAAAAGTTAGATATTATAGTACCAACACCGTGCGCAACGTCTGTATGACAAGACCTTTCCTAGGATACCAACAACTTTGACCCTTAGACCTTGACCTTGGTAGATTGACCTACTTTAAAAAAAAAATAACCTTGGCCATAACTTTTGAACGGGTTAAGCTGGAATTTTCATACTTCAGAATATATATTCCGTGTGACAAGACCTTTCTTCAGAAACAACGACTTTGATCTTGACCTAGGAGTTTGACGTACTTTTAAAAAACTTTTTTTTAAAAACTTTCAAACAGGCGGTACAAGGACTTTCATATTTCACTATTGTATTTCTTGTGAGAAGGCTTACTCTGGGTACCAACACACTGTACTTGATTTGCATTTGAGACAGTTTAACCTTCGCTATGTTGCCATACGAGAGCATCAGTTCACAATCACATCTTGTTTTAGTTGAATAAGACCGGCAATTTGTAATGTTGCTAAAATCTTTTGATGTTTTATATCTTATATACTAACATAATAATTAACGTGACCATGTACATATGGTAGCCTGAAAACAAGTTTAGAAACACAGGTTTGTTGCGAGACTGAAGCTCTACTGATGTGTACTTATAATGAAAAAGATTTAATTGTGTAAACTGTAGAAGTTGCTGAATCGTATCAACAGAATTTGCAACAAGTTTCTTTTTTTTAGTAGTCATAACAACACCGTTCAAAATAAACCATTAGGCCCTTGGGCAACAACGCTCACCTGAGACACTTTGGTCCTGCTGTTCCCCACCTATCTCAAGAGGGCATGATCTGTACATTTTACAATCTATCCTGCCTTAGGAGGCTTGACGTTGCATTTTTAAAAATTTCTTTCGTTCTTTTTTTTTAGGGGGGGGGGGGTCTCGTAAAGACGAGTTTAAACAATTTCAATGTAAAGCTTTGATACCTAGCCTAGCTCACCCTACCCCCCAGGGAACATGACCTGAACAATGTATAATTCTACATAACCTTAAAAAGCTTCTATATGTAAGTTTCAGCTTTCTGGTCTAATGGTTCTTAAGAGGAAGATATAATAAGTATATTTATTTAACATAAATTACAGTAACATTAAAATTTTTATCTTAGTCGTAAGATTTTTAGTAAAAAGGGCCACTGATCTGAATAGTTTAGAATTCTACAATACCTTAAAACTGGTCCAGTGGTTCTTGGGAAAAAGTTCAAAATGTGAAAAGCTTACAGACCGACAGACAGACAGCTCGATAGACGAACAGACTAACAGCTAGATAGAAAGACGTCTAGACGGACGAACAACAGATTATTAGGAAACAAGAGATGTTTGTAAAACACTTATGCCCCCTTCCCCCCAAATTGGATTTTTGCCAAGTCCAAGGGGCAAAACTCTGTCAAAAATGGCACGATTGTATGCAAAACAGATTTTGACCTAGATATTCATCTGATAAATCTGTATACTAAATTTCATCTCAGCATGTGCAACGGTTGTGAAGAAAATGAATGGAAACTGCAAATAATTGGAATTTTTCTAAGTCCAAGGGGCATAACTCTGTCAAAAATGGTGCAATCATACCTAAAACAGAACTTGACTTAGATATTAATGTGATATATCTGTATACAAAATTTCATTTCAGTATGTGCAACGGTTGCAAAGAAAATGAACGGAAACTGCCAATAATTGAAATTTTTCTACGTCCAAGGGGCATAAACCCAAAAAAACTTGACCTAGATATTCATCTGATAAATCTGTGTACTAAATTTTCTCAGTATGTGCAACGGTTGCAAAGAAAATGAACGGAAACTGCAAATAATTGAAATTTTTCTAAGTCCAAGGGGCATAACTCTGTCAAAAATGGCGCGGTACCCAAACCAGAACTTGTTCTAGATATTCAAGTGATATATCTGTATACTAAATTTCATTTCAGTATGTGCAAAAGTTTTGAAGAAAATGAACGGAAACTGCAAATAATTGGAATTTTTCTAAGTCCAAGGGGCATAACTCTGTCAAAAATGGCGCGATCGTACCCAAACCAGAACTTGTCCTAGATATTCAAGTGATATATCTGTATACTAAATTTCATTTCAGTATGTGCAAAAGTTTTGAAGAAAATGAACGGAAACTGCAAATAATTGGAATTTTTCTAAGTCCAAGGGGCATAGCTCTGGCGCGAACGTTCCCAAACCAGAACTTGACCTAGATATTCATGTGATATATCTGTATACTAAATTTCATCTAAGAATGTGCAACGGTTGTAAAGAAAATGAACGGAAACTGCCAATAATTGGAATTTTTCTAAGTCCAAGGGGCATAACTCTGTCAAAAATGGCGCAATAGTACCCGAAACAGATTCATGTGATATATCTGTATACCAAATTTCATTCCAGTATGTGCAACGGTTGCGAAGAAAATGAACGGAAACTAAGTGGACCAACACCGACAGACAGCAGCAAAGCAATATGCCCTCCCTTCTTCGAAGGGGGGCATAAAAATGTTCCTTCAGCTCAGAGGAGCTAAAAATGTTGAAATTGCCCTATATGTACATATTGGAGCAACTGCAATGGAAATAAACTCGGCCGCTTATTTTTAAATTATTACGTTTAAACATTGATGGTGCCCGATAAAAGAGTGAGAAACAAGTCAGGTGTGAACAGAGAAAGGTTACCTTGACAACGAAGGTGACAATTCTGGGACTTCAAATTTGAAGTCATAGTTCCAAATCTCCGCTGTAGGATGCCCAGAATTTTGATTTTCTTGTATTTCATGTCTGCACACACAACAAAATTTCATCATTGTAGCTCGATATCACAAGATTTAATCCTTAAATCTGTGTGTGTTTCTTGAAAAAATAGAATTTTTTGTCAGGCGGACGTCTAGCATAGAAATAGCGAGTTTACCCTGAAAACACAATTTCCTGTGACATAAAATGAATCCAAAAATAAACTCAAAGGCGCTTTCCGTATTTTGACATAATCTCCAGATCAAAACTTGTATTCATTAAGTGTGGCAGACGATAAACTCTTATATACACCAAAAGTAAAACAGAAAACGTCAACATGACCTTAAAGAGATGAAATTCCACAAACGGTCAAAGTTATGCATGGTTGAAAGATGATTTATGACATTTTATATGTCTGTATTTTAATTTTGTTACGTTGCCAAAAGCTTAATGAGATTATAGCTGTATAGCTGACCCACTGTCACACAGTACAAACGGGAAAAAAGGAAAGCAGATTCAACAATTTATAAAAAAATCTTCAATCCTTGGTATGTCTTTAATGTGGATTTTTTTTTTTTTTTTGAAAATTGGATAACAGCGATAAGTGTTTCTGAGGAATTTAAAATTGACATTACAGTCATTTATTTCATTTTTTACAAAAATTAGTGACTGTATTTCCGAATACACTCGTAAAGCTCAGTGCACAAAGTACGGAGTCAAATGAACATTAAAATGCCTAAATCTATCTCAGGCATTATCAATGCAAGTGCAGATATATGCAAGAAATTTTGATAAAATTGGAGAGATTTCCTGCCTTGTACATACATTTAATGTGTACATTAATTACGCCTCATAACAGCAATGTTGAAACAATGTTGCGATATAAAAACCGTCTTTTCGGTTAAAATTTAAGAGCATTGAAAAATAAATGAAAATGACTTGATTGTTAAATGGTGTGAGGCTTGAAAACCGTGTAAAACTTAATGTAGTTATTTGTAAATTTAATGAAAACTGGCAAGCAAAAAATTTAAGTGGAAGCAGAATTAACTCGGACTAAACGATGGAGATTTATAATATCTTTTCAAGTATCGAGACTAAGAGCCAGAGAATACATCATGTTTCGGACGAGAGTAAATCTTTTTGAAAGTTCTCGTAAATTCATAAACAAGTTCGACAGATGGTGCTTGGTAACCCAAAGAGATTTGATCAACCTTTTTTATTGTTAATCCATCAGCAGCCGCTCGTTTGAGCTCTCAAAATAAAACGTTCAATATCTTTGGTGAAAGGCAACATCTATGAACTATCCAAACGTTTAAACAAGACACACTGCAAGTGCTTCTTTGTTTTATGGCCTTCACCTCAGATTTGAAAAGGATGGACGAAGTTCATATCTTTTTTACCTTTCTTTTTTTTAAAAATCAGATTACATGTCAACGGATATAATACTGTGTTCCTCACGTAAATTCATGAAGTTTTTAAAATTCGTCTACTTCTTGATGGATAATATACATGTACTTTTCAAGTTTTCCCATAAGTAACCCCATCCTTTTTTAACGAAATGATACACGGTGTAACTTGGGCATTTGGGATATGCAGAAAGTTATAAAGCATTTGTTTTAGTAATCATTGTAACAAATTTTCCAATAATTATCGTCGGAAGCTAAAACTCTCAGGTCTATAATGGAGAACCCCTGTAATGTTCGGCCACTATAATTAGACAGATGTGTCAATTTTCTCGTTAATTTGGCGGCATGAATGGACCATTTTTGCAACTGAAAGAATACTCAAGAAGATAAAAACATCGTAACAGCGTAAAGGTGCTATTTTTACCGCTTTCTGGATCTGTTGGAAGCAAAAATTTAATGTAAAATTACATAACTCTACGTGAGTAAGCGAGTCGGATTTACAGAAAATCTGATGCTCTCAAAGAAATACTGTAGATCACTAAATATTCACGACACCTTATTTTCGCGAGATTGTCATTGACTCTTTGTAAGCGAGACATAATTTTCACGAATTGTGGTTATACCTCTGCATAATCGTAAGGAATACTTTTATACGCGAGAATTTAATTTTCGCGAACGCATTGTCTCGCGTATTTACGCGAAAATAAAGTGCTCGCGAATAAAAAGTGATTTACAGTAGTAAAATTCCATTTTTTACCTTATATTTTTGAGGGAAAAAATATTAATGATAGCATCTTTTATCTTGAACTATTGAAGTATTTTGAAAACGCCCCAGAAAACGATATTCCGACAATTCTTGTGTAAATTTAAATGTGTTTCACCCTCATTAAGTTAGCAATAACAATCTATCGTTAAGTCGAATGTTGAACAACAATTTTCATACAAATTCCTGGGCTATTATTTTTTCCCATTTACCCGATCATGACAAGAAGCATCGGGTTTTGCTCAGTCGACAGGGGATGCTTACTCCTCCATGGCACCTGATCCTACCTCTGATGTTTTACAGGTCCTTGTTTGTTCTGCCTCAATGTGTATTGTTCCAATGAATTTAATGATTGTCAGCTTCATGTTTCAAGGGAAAACCGAGATTATTTTTACATATCTATCAATCTCTTATTTATTTAACCCCTTCCCCCCCCCCCCCCCCGAAAAAAAACTTAAAAACTGTAAATCAAAGGTCAAGGTCTTATGTTAAGCAGAGTATGTTTGTGATACACCCTACACGTATATACAATGTTACTGACTTACTGTCCGTCCAGGACTTACATTATACAATATAATTTAAACTTGACTCGGGGGTCAAGGGTCACATTAAGGTCATATTTGGATGACACATTTTCTTATAAGGATACAATAAATATAATGTGCTAAATATAAGGTAAAAAGTTAAAAAAAGATCTGACGTCAAATTTGAAGGTCACAGTAACATAGATTACGATAATACATGAAATGCTGTTTTTATTATAATATTCCTACATGGTATAATAAGTCACAAGCAAGTAACTTGTACATTATCAAAAACTAGTAGAGGTACTGTGAGCACGGAGCTCACTTAATAGAACCCCTGCCTCCCAATATGATTATAATGGCAAAGTCCATGTTTTGCTCAGTAAGACCCGAAATATTGTCAGATCAAAGTAAAATAAGAGGGTTCGCAATATGGCATTATGTAATAAAGAATTTGTAAAAGTATCATAAAATTTTATTCAGCGGAATAGTTGCGGATAAGAGATAGGTACCCTTCGGTATTATAGAAGTGTCCATGTTTTGCTCTGGGAACCCCAAAATACGTGTCGGACCAAAAAGTAAAATAGAAGCTGCACAATGGCACTATGTAACAAAGATTTTATGAAAGTCTCATTAAATTTCATTCAGTGGTATAAGAGGAGTTGTGGATAAGAGACGGGTACTGTCCTTTCTGACATAATTTATTTTATCAAATAAACTCTGCAATATGACTAATTGCAGAGTTTATTTGATAAAATAATTAGTCGACTGAGAAACAACATGCACCCATCATAATGTAATATAGGTACATTTGACACCAAAGGGTAGGCATATAGACCATTACTAAAACACTAAAATCAGACCGTGTGACGGTCACCTTCAGAGGGAGTACAACATTTAAATTTTTGAAAATGAGGGGGGAATTTCGTATTAACTGGCGGACTCACGAACATTTGATGTACATGCAGTGTGGCAAGCTGTTTGCCTCATAACCAAAGACGTCTCATGCCCCCGAAAGTCACATGTAAACAAAGACATACAAACACACTGAACCACTTACGATTTTCTTGGCAGGGGATGCTTTTCTGTGAATTTAAAAGAATATGTGATGATGGCATGTTCTGGTAGAGCAATGGTTTGTTCTGGCATGATGATGGGACGACCCAACAGGAGCAAGGAAACAAAAATCACAACTCCTTTGTGTGGCACACGCGTGGTGAAGCTGGATATACAAATTGCCTACAGTCAATCCCAAATTTAATACCGATGAGTAATGGTAATGCCGAAATATACACACTTCGTTTTTGAAAAAAAAAATCTCTACTGTAAAATTTTTCGCGACTTTCTTTGTGCAGGAAAAATGGACACAGGAGCTTGAAATAAAAAACACGCACAGATGCTGTCGATCAGAGAAAGTTTAGAACATGTTAGCGATAGTGTTAGTCGGGCAGCCCTCATAATCACCGACAGGGGAATCAAACGCCCCTCCACTGAGCGGCATTGAAGCGGCTTTATTATCGATAGCTCTCGTCACGTGCAGGCTTGTTTTAATTGAGAAGACAGGCTTCGGGATTAGATTTTGACTCTTTATTATCACATAATTTATTGATGAGGGCGTTTTTTGTAAGGCATCATTTAGGGTTCAAATCAAAAGTGAACCTTTGTTTATAAAACCGTGCAAGTTTCCGTCCCGCATCGGCCTTTCTATGCCAGACCTTCCTTTATCATTTAAATCTGCTCACATCATTGCGTTAAATTACTGTTTCATAGGAAATCTACAAAATAAGAATTTTAGGAAAGGCTTTTCAAAATGTTAATTAAAAAAAACTTAATAAATATGTGACAAAATGCCTTTTCAAAAAAATATTTTTTTTACATCATCTTTAATGCTGTCTTGGTGCGATGATTAATTATCAAATTGTTTCATAATAATCGCTTTTTTAATTCTTGCAAAAATATACTTTGAAAAATTATATCGAAATGCATAATAACATATAAATACATGAACAACACATGAAACATCAAATAAATTTTCGGTATTGCACATGTTGTCTTCATCAGATTATTATCACCTTAATCTAATTAACCTTAGGAACATCATCAGGATATCACGTTAATCTAATGAACCTTGGAAACTATCCTGTTACCTTGATATAACGATTGATTACAACAGGCTACTTACTGGTATTGTTGTTTAATCTCTCAGTGTTCGATTTAAGGTTCATAAACTCTCTGCTCAATAAAAATGTTTCTTTAGTTCTGACGATTTTCCATAAGAAATGTATTTGTTACATTATTGACTGAGTTCGAGGGCAACATGCGTTTTGTCCCACCTAAGAACCAAACTGTCTGCCTGAGGCCGTTAGGCCGAACGGTTCCGACAAAACGCATTTTTCCCCAGAACTCTGTCAATAAATGTTTTGTTAAACCTTTCATTTTATTTTATTTTATTGAATACATGTATTTTGTACTATATTCCGTGATGTAACATCAGGTCTGTCACTGTTTAACACCAACGAATGAAAATGAGATTAAGCTCCGCCCATTCTGTGACGTAAGCGGTCCAACATCTCACTCAGCGGTCCAATATCGACTTTTTATGCCCGCTCAGCAAAACATTAAAAATGTTAGACTTTTTTTCGTATAGATTTGTATAGGAACAAATTTTTAAAGGTATAACAAAAACAATCATAGCATTGCTTGCGGGACAACGTTGGACAAAATAAGATACTCCAATTTGACAAAATAGACATTTATTTTGTGTCATTCAGAGTTATCTCTCTTACCATAGTATCGATGATCCTTAAGCCCAAAAATAGGATACATTGAACGGCGGTAGATCTACAAAATTCTCATACATGCGTATGCAGCATAAACCAGGTACTGCAGTTCAAGTTGTAAATATAAGTATTAACCGATACTCTATTTTTTACAAGTTTTACAATTTTCTCTTCATTTTTATTTTAAATATTCCAATCATATATTACTTGTAAGTCAATGTTCTACAAAGGCCGTTGCCAAATTAATCAGTTTTTAATTTATTACTCGGGAATGAAATAAAGTTTAAAATTGAAAAAAGGCTTTTACACATCTGGGAAAAATATAACATGAAGCATCCATCACTACATTTATTAGCATGATAGCTAGGAAAAAACAATTCTTGTAGTAAACAGTAAATTGACTACTCCAACGGTTTTCATCTGGTCTTGGATCCAGAAAATGACTTGCAGCAACTGAAGCTTGACTGTATTTAAGAATTCATAATCCATCATAAATCATATGGCGGTCAATATTTTTGGTACATATTAATCATAGAAATCTTAAAACTGGATTATCATTGCCAAACACAAGGCATGATAATTAAACATTTGGAAACTGTGTTAAGCAAATGCATTATTTCTGCTTGGATACATTTTTAGTGTCTTAGGTCTATTCTCAAACTAGCTGCAGATCTGTAGCTCGCTGGTCTGAAAAAAATTGGGATGAATGACCATCTGGTCTGTCATATGTTTTCGGAGAGCTACATTTCTGCAGCTATTCTCAAACATACGGAGTGATATGTATTAAAAAACTATTTACTTAACACCACAGGCACATGTTATGTATACAGGGCATCTTTATTTTCATGTACTACTAAGTTACCATACCCTGTGGTAAAAGTAAGTCATGAGACACTATACAAAAAAAAGTGCCGAGGGTTCACACTCTCTTAACCTCAATTCCCCTGGATATGAAATTTTTTTTAACGAATTCAAGTAATTAAACCACATATATTAGGTAATGTCCCTTTTTCTGAAACATCCGTTTAAAGCATTGACATTAAGACAAAATATTGATATATATATATTCTTTAATAAATAAACTCACACCCTGTACACTAAAGATACATATGGTGGTCTATATTATGCTACAAGAAAAACTCAACAAAGTTAGATAACTAGGTAATGTATAAAGGACAAACGATAAAACAAAGTTAGATAACTGTGTTAGGAATTACATACAGAGATTTATCAGTATATAGATGGGACAAAAATATTTCATTAATCTGAACAAAAATCTAATATATCTGCCATAACAAATAAGCCCTCATTTCTAAAATGGAATAAATATAACAGAACCCGGGTGAAATTTACATTGACAAGGCTTAACAATGCATTTAACAATTTTTAACGAATCAAATATTTTGTGATGATATTAAATTTATGCATGGATTGAAGAACTGGAATTTGTAAAGTTTTCCCCTGAAGTTTTATCTTAGGGCAATTTCTTACATAAAAATTCATTGAGTGTGGAACTTCATATAAATTGAGGTATGGTACTGCATGCTACTTGTCAAAATAAATCCCTTTTCCAAATTTCTAAGTATATATTTTTAACATCTAATTATAGAAAAAAAAATAGCTGCATTAATTATTAAATATTACATGGTGGTTTTCAGGATCTACAGATTAAAAGAAAAGGGAAAAAACAAAACTCAACTGCTAAAACACAGCAACTATAGATAAAGACAAAATTAAAGCACTATATAATGATTAAATAAGCCTACAGCTGAACTGAAAGGCAATACTACAGTCGATATATCAAACACAACGAATAAGAGGAAACTAAAAAATGAAATTCACCTGTGATTACAATCCTAGCTAAAGCACTGCTAAATATATACTAACGATGATATGTCAATACGGAACTGTTCTACATGAATTATAGTCCATTGATTTCTTGAATATACGTTAATTGAACTGTCAATGATCAAATTATCTTTCTAAACATAACATACTTTCACTACAATTTTTTAATAACTCCCCAAAATTTTTGGGAGGTTAAAATCTGGTGACAAACTTTTCTCCCATAATACCATGACAATATTGCGTACATTTCTTAACATTTTACGAGCCGTTAAAATATAAGAAGTATACATATTTTACATGAAAAAAGAGATAATTACATTATGCAAAATATTGATAAACTGTAAATAATGCTGATTTTAATACCCAATGCCTGCATCATGAACTAATCATCAAATTCGACCATGCAATCAAACAGTAGGCACAAAAGGATATAAGTGGTTTCTCTCTCAATGTAGTTCACATTTTGCAAAAAATTAAGAATTAATACATTATTTAATTTATCTATTTGATATTAGCAGAAAAAAATTCTTCAAATTGCACTATTGATTTTTAAAAAATAATTTGCACAAAATAAATGTGTTTAAAAAATAAATTTTATTTGATTTTTTTACAACCATAAGGAAGATATTAACTAAATGCTTTTTGTCACAAATGCTCTCAAAGGCCCTTTGCTTTAACACTACTCTAAGTACAGCTGTCCTCTTCTTTTATTTGATCATCACAAGATATGTGCAACTGGATTGGAAAACGTTAAAATTTGAATTTCCTTTAAATTAAAAAAAAATCAGAATTGTTTGAAGGGTAAATAACATGAAATTGTTTAAAAAAAAAAAAAGAACAACTAGATTAATTTTGGGCATTTTTTAAAAGAAATGAGAATGGTTATTTAAAGATTAAATTGTTACAAAACATTATCAATGCAAGATTTATCAGCCTCAGTGTTCAATTGACAAGTCTTTCAACTCCAAGAGCTGCATAAGAATGTTAAAAGATTAGTATATATAAATTCAGGTAAATAACAAGTTGTATGATATATCCCAGATCAGCTTTTCTTTGAGGTAGGTAATTTAGGTTTGGTGTTTGTATGCCTGCAAGAGTTACTTTTCTTTGAGCGATATTCTATCGGTAATTTGGTAAAGTTTTTTTTCTAAAATGTCATAACAAATATATTTCTTAATTTCCAGACAAAAACAAGCAATCAGTAAAAAAAAAAAACTGTTGTTTTCTTTTAAATTTGCAACAATTTTTGAAGGGAAAAAATCAACAAGCACAAATATAAGCAACAAAAAGCATCAAACAAACGGAGATTTCCTTGCATAAAAAATTAACAACTATTTCAGATGGAAAAAAAAAATTAAATACATGAACAATATAATTTTTTTTTATCGACTTAACAATAAGTGTATTTCTTTTGCTTTGGACATTTGATCAAAATGATACACAACAGAGAAGGAACTACATCTGACATAGTACAACATACTATGGTATAGTATGCCACAGTATGACATAGTATGACACAGATGACATAGTACGACACAGTGTGACATAGTATGTTGCACGGTACAGCTACGACAGGAACATGGCATGTTTATGATATCAGCAGGATGTCATTCCTTGATGAGAGTACCAAACGGATAATCCCACATTTTGGAAGATATACCAAACCCTAAAATACAAATTAAAAACATTTCATTCTTTCCTTCAGAGAACGAGTGTCAAAAATACACCATAAAATATTTCTAATACAGAGCTTGGAGTTTTCTGCTGATTCCTAGAATAACTCTAATAACTTTTAAAAATCAACAGAGAATTGCATTTTTTTTTTTTCATTTTCTTTAAAAAAAAACAACTAAAGTTAAACATGTCTCAGTGAGAAACATTCATGTTTCTAATACTCTGCATCATAAAGGGACATAACCTACCTTTCTGTTGGTCCTGATACATCAAGGGACATAACCTACCTTTTTCTTAGTATCATACATAAAGGGACATAACCTACATTTTTGCTGGTCCTGATACAAAAAGGGACATAACCTACCTTTTTGTTGGTCCTGATAATGATGTTTAACATGGTATCTTTTTAGAGACTTGAAATAACTTCCATAGGGTATTCCATGATGTAAATAGTAATGTATCATGTCATACACAATGTAGCCACTAATGCTTCCCGCAAACACGGTCAAGGCCATGGTGGGGGGCATGAACAGGCAGTACACCGAGTAGACCAGCACCCCCAGGGCAGCGGCTGGAACGGGTGGGAACACTAGTCTCACCTTATCCATGGGGGCCTGAAATAAGTAAAGGTATTTTATATGATTTCCAACTAACTACTACTGCAAATTCCAAAGTATATAACTGAAAATTGATGTGAATGAAGTTGTGTTCTCAATGCAGTTAATGGAAAGAAAATATTGTGCTTTAAAATTTTATTTTTACAGTGAATTTGATGATGATATGTTTTATAAATAACTTCTTCAGTGCACTGCAGATATAAGATAAATGTATATCATAAATATTTTTGACTGATTTCAAATAGAAATGTCATCGATATCAATACCAAATCCCTTAAAGTTTCTTTGGTGCTTAGATACTGTACAAGGGATTAATTTCACGGGTTGTAATTTTCATGTTTTTTCCTTCTCTGACACAGTCGCGGTTTCTTGAATTTGCCGAATTGGTTTATAAAAAAGTTTCCTCCCTTATCTATACCTATTGAAAACTTATTCACTGCTTCTTGAATTCACGGATTCATAAACACCGTGAATATAGCGAATATTACAGGCGCGTAGCATCGTTTTTGAAAGTGGGGGGGCCAGCCAGATAAATTTTTTTTTTTTTACTTACCTGAAAAAGTTGACAAGCAAAAAAAAGGGGGAAAAGTTGCCCAGAGTCAAAAATCCTATTTCGTGAGGGGGGAGGGGGGAGGGGGGGGGGGGTAAAGGTAAACTTTTTTTCAGTGTCAACTACTTTCAGTACCAATTCTAATACTACATTTTCGGTACATCACTAAAAGTGGGGGGCCCAACCAGGCTTTCAATTAACATTTCCTGTAGTATAAGTAAGGTTGGGAAAAAAAGTGGGGGGGCCAGGCCCCCCCTGTTGCTATGCCCCTGTATTAACACCGCGAGTTATTCTCCCCCTATACAGTATGCAACTTTGTGTCCTTTTCTATACAAAATATACAGCATATTGCATTATATTTTTAACATTCATGTGACAAAATTCTCCAATATTACCTGCCTAATTTTATTCAAGTTAATACCTTTTTGAATATAAATCTATGAGAAATATTGCTGACTTTGGGGAAAAAAAGTTTGTTACATTTATCCTTAACTTATATATATATAGAACACTTGCATCATAGGAATTTTATAGCTACATTTATGTAATTTATTTCAAATAAATGTAGAATGCATATTAGGATTTGTTTTTAGTGTAAAGATCAATAACATATTATGCTGAGCTAGAGAAAGACAAAACTAATTATTTTTTATAAGCCATTCAATCTGACTATACCACCCATACTATAATTCTAATAGCTTTAGGGACATGAAATCAAACCAGTATCATAGCTCAGCAAAATTAAATCCAACATCTTAGGAAAATTCCAATAGATCTGCAGAAAGAAACTATATACAGAGAAGAAATCTACTTCTTAGGAGTTAGGTATGGAAAAGCAGATATTTTAGGAAAAAAAATATCATTTTGTAATAAAACTTGTGAAATAGAAATTTTGAAGGGAACCATTTTGTTCAGTTTATATTATTATTGGTCTAAATTTTCATGGTGCAATTCCGATTTTATTATTAATTATGCATAGGATGATAGGTATCAACTGTCAAGTACCCCGGTACATGTATTTACAGATTCATTGTAATACCAAGAAATGGTGGCTATAATACTCAAATTTTCCCTCTATATATACCCTGAAATTCAGCTAAATACTTTATCACAAAAAATTATCTTGTGAGCAGAAAAAAGTGTTTGTATTAAATCTGAGCAAAAATTATCAGCACACTCAATGTAGAAAAATTTCAAAACAGGAAAATGTATCTTGTAAGATGGATACAGATTTTGTTTATCTTAGTCTATTAAGCCATAAAAAGGGCATATCCTCCCATATCCTGCTTTTACCTTCCCAAAACATACATCCTGTTTATACCTTGTGATGCTGGCCATGGAACAGGAAATGTAATATCATTATCACCGGGTAGTTGGAGGGAGGGCATAGATGGAACAGCCATCGGTGAATCACGTACTCGTCCAACGTCCACAACAAAAAGCCGATCACAAACAGTAAAGGCATGTGGTAGCTAGTCACTGGAATGCCTACAACAATATTTAAATTTAATTTCAAAATTTTCCAAATAGATCAGTTTTCATATTCATAAATGCCTGTTTCATATGAGCTCTACTTATATGAGCCAAGCTAGACTCCATTTGCAAATACTTCAGCAAGCTTAACTGATGATTTAAACAGATATGATGAAGTCTATCTAAAATCTTTATATTCCAACTATTCTACTAACAAAGTCTGGACATATAAGGAAAATTTCATATGTTGTAGTAGTTTTCTTTGGTAATGTCTATAATTCCATTAGCCTTGATGGCAGTAGAGGATTTTCTTCAATATTTACATCCATTAACTGTATGAGGAATCCATTATGTCAGAGTGGGAGATTTCCTCCTTTAACAGTAACTTTCCTTTAATAGAAACTGTGACAGGTAGAAATCATCAGAGACTCTGAATGTTCTTTGGGGAAGAAATATCACTTCAGGTTCTTCCGCGAACAAAAGAGCCTTTTCTCCGATTTCTTTAATTTGGTAAGTACTTATAAATGGCTTCACTTAATCTAAAGTCCAAAAAGCATAAGGGAAATCACTGTCTAAAACATAATGGTGAATGTATCACATTAAAAAGGGTAAAAAATTCACTTGGGTATCCTAAGTATAAATATTTAAAGGGGATTCTTCTAATAATAGCATTTCAACTACTCATGAATCTACTATTTTTGAAGAAACAATAAGGAATATTGCATTTGAATTATTTTAAGAAGCTGTGGCTTATTTTGAGCTGCAGATGCTGTAAATATCAATATTTAACAGCTCTGTGGCAACATACATGTCTAAAAGAATTAGATGTATGCAAGTGAGGAACTGACAATAGTGCAAAAATGACTGCAAGTCAAACTGATTCACAACTGCAATAATCACACATAAACCATTGCAAGCACATCAACAAGTGCAATGGGTGAAACAAAAACTGTGCTTTTAAAAAAGCCACATACCTGTAGCTATCTAAAACAATTCTATTTCAGAGACACCTCTCTCTCTCTGATGACAATAAAGTAAAAAGGTGGTGATGATGATGAAAGATAGGGGTGGTGGTGGTGATGATGATGATGGTAATGATGATGAAGAAAGTGGTGGTGGTGGTGATGATGATAAAGAAAGCAGTTGTAGTGAAGATGATTAAAGTGGTGGTGGTGATGATGGTAATGATGACAAAGAAAGCAGTGGTGGTGGTGATGATGATAAAGAAAGCGGTTGTAGTGATGATGAAGAAAGCGGTGGTAGTGGTAATGATGAAATATAGGGGTGGTGGTGGTAATGATGATAAAGATAGCGGTGGTGGTGGATGATGGATAGTGGTCATGATGATCAAGATGATGAAGTTTGGATAAAAATATTGATGATGGTAGTGGTTATTTCTGGTAGTTATGATGGTTGAAGTGATTGATGATGTTGGTGTGACTGGTGATTATGATGGCGGAATAAGTTATGATGTTGATGATACTCTGGTAGTTGTTTTAGTAGTGTTTATGATGATGATGTTGTATCAGCAATGATGATGATGATGATGATAAAGTGGTTGTATTAGTTAAGCCAGGCCAGGTATGTGGTAAGCAGTGCATAATAAATAGCTAGATTTTTGTCTACATACATGTACAAATATCAAAACTACATCTTGAACTGCATCACAGAAAAAAACTATATAATTTTTTCTTTTCTTTATACACTTTGTTGTGTATCCGAGAGAAAACTACATATCTCCTTTCATCTTGTTTGATACTAAGTTATCTCTACAATTTACATGTTTTCATAAAGTTGTCATCAGTTACTTATCTGAGAAGGTGGCAACAAATTTCTGCACTATCAGTGACTGAATACAGTATGAATTACATGCATTTCATTTACGTTTTACTCTCTAACATGTTTTTGTGGCTATAAAAAAACCTTTTCTAATCTTCCTGCATCTGATATTGCTTTGTCATCTTCAGAATCTGTTAATACCGGGTATATGATACATATTAGATGGTTACCAATATCTTTGATGTTCTGACATTAAAATTTTTGTGACTGATTGTCTATACCTTCCGGCTTTATGTCTCACAATATTCAAAATTAATTCACTATATATGTCTGAGAGTGGTATAAACCAGTAAATATTATCAAATTGTATAAACCAGTATAATTATACTATCAAATTTCTATGACAAATCGAATTGGTCAATGTGAATTAAGACTAAAATGATTGGAAAGTTATTTGAACTACGTGTGGACATAAAATATCAGTATCATGCTTTCATAAGCAAAATACATTTCACCATGTTATGTTAATATCTTTTACATATTTTGGTTCATGCCGGGATTTAATTTAAGATAGCAGAATATAATATAGTTTTTTAGTAAGCTGCTCAATTTTGGATACATTCACACAAAAGCAATTCATATGTTCAATAGAGACTCTCTGAACTTCTAATAAACAGTACAATAGCTTCTCATATGACTGACAACTTCAATTTAGCCAAAAATCAATTTTTACAATAATGCAATGTCCTAGCAAAAGCTTGTCGGCATCAACATATATTGTAGCTATTCAATACTTGCCACATATATATGCACTGCAAGCAAGGATTTTACATATAAAATATCAGTCTAAATGGGATTTAAGGGAACCTATTCATTCACCATTAACCATATAACTAGCTGACATGCGCAGTATACAGTGACACGGACACCAAGTAAAGTGCATGCAAACCCACTGCCTCTGTTATGTCAGAGAGCACAGTATACTTACTTAAGTTATAGTCTGCAAAGGAAAGAAAATATATTATCATAATGACACAATTTACAGAATGGGCAATTTTCCTCTCCGCGGATGAGAGATGCAATCAGTGAGGAAAAGATTGGGACGCTGTATGATGAATTATTTACAATATGGTTACGGGCTCTATAGCTTTGTCTGAAGTAGACAACTGAATTACCTCCCCCTGAGTGATTGGCCTTCATGTCAAGTCTGTTTGTCTGTCTGTAAGCAAGATTGTGTGATTTTGAATTTTACTGAAGCTGGATCTTCAAGGCAACAGCTAAGAATTTAAATCTGATAGCAGATTCGGGATTGCAGGGTGTAAAAAACATAAAATGATAATTATCTAATTTTCATATAATTTGTGCGTATTTCATTACTTATTAAATCTTGCTGTCTACAAGAAAAAACTTTGAATCAATCTTTATTTTCACTACTGTGAATTAGATTAGGTAAATTTCTTCTTCAAGAAAGTAATAAACAACACTTATGTACTCTTTCCTCAAAAAAATTCACATATATTTCAAATAACTCCAAGCTATTTTATGTATTCCCCATATTAAGGGCAAGATCATCTTTACAAATGTATTTTTAAAAGGTTTAGAAATTTTATATTTCTGACTGCTTATTATGGTTGAAGATAGATTCTTAAAATACCTCTTGTTAAGACAAATTTCCCTGGTTACAATTCCTGGCTTAAAATGACAGTGTATGATTATCACCATGCACCCCAGATAATAATAGGAGTATCTTTTAAAAGCAACAACCATTCTTATTTCACCTCACTGTAAATTGATGCTTAAATTTACAGACTTTTTCTGAAACTATGAAATTTTTTCACATGCAGTATATTTTATATTGTGATAATTGAAATAATAAACAAATCTAGGACTGAATAAACCAAATGATTGGCTCAGCAGGTAAAAAATGACATCATTAACACATCAAACAATCAAATTTGAACCATATTATGTTAATTAATTTTAATGAAGTGCAAATATACAGTAAATCTGTTTAATAATTGTGAAAACAACTGCTTACAATTAACAATGATTCCTCAAAAACAAAAAAACCTTTTTTTTCTATAAACTGGTGTAAGAAAATGGTCCTCACAATGATTGATTGGGAAAAGGGATGGTGGAAAGGATTTGCTTAGGTATAAAATTCTGATCATGATCACACATAGAACTATAATAAAAAAAAATATTTTAAAAAAAAATTACAGGAAGAATTAATTACAGGAAGATTCCCTTTAAGTAAATTCAAATGAGCTCTAAATCAATCCATTTAAGGATGTAAAGAAAATCACCAGGAAATATATTCAAGACGCAACAGGTTCATTTAAGATTGTGAAAAAAAAAAAATCAAAAATAATTTTCAAATTTGTCCAGTTAATGTTTCCTACCAATGAAACACCAGCAGACTAAAGATTTCCTGTCAAATATGAATTGTAACTTGCCTACCCTCTCCCTCAATGCCCTTTCCCATTACTTCACTGAAGCGTGGGGGGGGGGGGGGGAGGGAGGGGGCTAGAGTTGTCTTGGTACTGATGGTACATAATGTACCTTTATGGTACTGAATTTGAAGCATACTATATATGCATCAACAGGTAAACTGTATGTGAAAGTTTGGCATGAATACCATTTTTTGATATGCTGTACACAAAAACCAATGCTGTACAGGAGTACTGCAGCATAAATACGGATCAGATGCAGCATGTGGAGCATAGACCATACCAAATATTAAAAGATGCTACATATAGTTTCACCCTATTATATATATATTGCTTCAGAGAAAACAGCCTTTTTGCAGAAAAATCATGTAGAAGCAAACAGTTGGTACACAACCAAAACCCTAAAAAAATAAACTTCTGATGAATATATGAATAAATTGTGTACAAGTATTTTTATCAAATAAGGTCTTTAGCTTTTCAGAAAAAATAAATTCCTGCATGCACCCTCTAGCAATAATTGTAAAATCAACTGTGCATTTGATTATTCAAAATACAGCAATCTTCTTTATAATTTAAATGCTTATTGGAAGATCAAGCATAAAAATAAGACCTCGCACAACAAACTGAAATATATGACAGATAACTACTGCGGTGAATCTGACATATATACCATCGGTGGATATATTTCCAACGAGCCTCATGAGCTGCTCAGTGCCTATAAAAAGAGGAGTTGTAATGAAATGTATCATATCTTATTTTTAAGAATTTTCTACGGAAGCCCATAAGTGCCAATTGCTTTTCCTTTATATATATACATGTATACAGGTTGGCAATAATGGGCTTCAGTAGTTTTCAGTATAAATGAGCAAAAACTTGGTCTTCATCTGTATCAGATTTTCAACATCTCATTATTCTTATGCTTTCATTTTGAAGAAATGCCTTTTATAATTATAGTCATGAAAATGATATATACTTTACAGTCCTATGGGACATTTCCCATAAATAATTTTGCTGTTTTGGCAATTTTTCATATCTACAGTGTATATCACAAAATTATTATTAAAAAAAAATTTTCAAGTCAAAGATTGTTTGCTTGATGGTGGTAGCTACATGTAGTGTCCATAAAAAGTAAATGTAAAATTGATCTTTAACTTCCTCCTTTTCAAACTAAAATTGTTCCTTTTAGGGTAGATTATAAATTACATCAATGACTTTGCCTGAGTTGCCATAATTCACCCATGTACCATAATATTAGCCACTGGCCATGTAACATAGAGGTCCAGTTTGGTCACAAGATTGGCCTGCTATGGAGAAAAGCAGTCTCACTGACGAAAATTAAACCTTGACTCAACTGTCATGTAAGTCGATGTGACAATCAAAGGTGCTAGTAAAGGTTTGAATTAAATCAGACTGCCAATTTTCAACACCTTTTTTATAATTAATATAGAATATCTGGGCTTCATAAGAAAATTTTTCAACACAAGCCTTAAATAATTTTATGAATCATACATTTTCCATCTTTCATAATGATTATAATTGCATGATTTAAGGGATTTTTCAAACTTCAAATAACAAAAATTGCACATGCATTTATTTGCCATTGTACACTTTGATTTGTAGGAAATGGTCTATACTTAAAAAGGTTTAAAAACTGGATTCTTGCAAGTTCAAGTACTTGAACCTTTATAAACACCGGAACAGAAACTCCCTAAAATAAACACACAACTGATCACATTTCAAGTTCTATCTCTCCAATGAAATGAAATGTCTTGTAAATTGTGGAGAATTATTATCAAAACATAAACAATGTTTATAAACGATTCACTAAGTATATTTATCTTGGGCATTATTTTGTCAATGATGATGTTTGTTTTTAAGTTATGAAAATCCATTTTAAATGTTTTAATTTTCAACTGAGTCTAATTTGTTCAAAATTTGCAGACATAAATTAGGTTACTTCACATTCAGCTCTAAAATTTAAAAATTCAAATCACAATACAAGTAAATATCCCAGCTTCTTTAATTAAAAGATATTTTATTGACAGACTTTTAGTACCGGTAGTTTTATAGTTCTCAATTTATAAAATCACTTCTTTAATTGAATCAAACAAAAAATGCCAGAAAATTACATACAGTTTAATGTGCTGTTAAGTCAGCTAAATACATTATGACATTTCAGATTCATGTACATTAATTTTGAAAGACCCCAGGGATTTGTTATGTGTAGAAATCCTTTGAAGTTTATGCAATCAGATTTTCTTTTGTGAAATTTAAAGTATAAACACAATTTTTTTTTTAACATAACGATCCCTTGCTAAAGACAAAAGAGTAAATTAGCCTAGTTATCAGAAATCTTTTGTGAAGCTTTAACACCATACAGATATATTTGTAAACCTAATGAATCTAAAGGTAGACAAAATGTAAATAACGGGCAATTCTTAAAGGGCATAAATCTACGTGACAGAAGGCATGTATTTCAACCTACTTCAAATAGTCTGACCATATTTCACCCCACTGACCAATGAAAACACTTTATTTTTATACTCATTGCACCTGTGCAGAGATACAAATAGCCTATAATCTTTTGCAGACTTTGCATAGGTACCAACTCTATGTATATATTAATTTTTGTCTATTCCAATAGATCTGATAACAAAATGTGGATTTACTTAGATCAATTCATAGATATATTTTTTCATTGAAAAAAATTGAGGGATTCTTATGTAACTGACAACTGTCGGGAACACAAATATTTCAAAGTTCCAATTTTAATACAAAATATCAACTACATAGTTTTATTACTTAGCAGTAAAATAAAATAACTCTATAAATTCTGTGTTTGAGAATATCATTTTCATGTATAACAGCTTAGAGGATACTTGAGTGGAGGTAACACATGTGCATTCATTGATTTCACATTTTAGATCAGACAGACGCCCTAATAATACACAAACACAACTGATCAATTTGACCTGCAATGAAAAATATACATGTACATGCATATAAACAGACTTAATAAAGACCACAGTACTGTACGTACCTTTAGTAAGGATGACGGCAAAGGAACATGGTCCCTCTTGGAGACTTGAATAGGAGGTGTACAACATTAATAGAACCACGGGGATCCAAACTAATGGCACCACATACCAGGGGCACTGGGAAAAGTACTCACAGACCTCGGACTTCATCAGGCGCAGGTGACCGTCCACCGGCCGATGGACCCACTCAAAGTAACGGTCACCTAGCTTAGGAACTTGAAATAGTATTGGTTCATTCCAGTCAATGGGGTCATCCTGCAACAAAATTACACATCATCAGAAATATATTTTGCATTTTTTTAAAGATATATTATCAAGATCTACAATAACTAATATAAGATATGCTAAATAATAGTTTACAAGAGTTTACAAATCATTGAATCATGCAGAAACACAATTTTCTATTGCTGTAACAATCTATAATAATTCTAGCTAGGATGATTCTAATCTTAAATGAGTAAAAGGACTAACAATGAAAAACATTTTAAGATGATAATAGACATTTATAGTTTAATTTTTTTTCAATTAGAAGTCTAGATATCATTTCAATATCTTCATATTTAACACCCCCCCCCCCCCTCGGGTACCCCATTCTCATCCTCTACCCATCCAAACTTTATTTTTTTATTTCCTTGATTCTGTCACTCACTGTCATCCCTCTAACTTCTGTACAAACATGATATTTATCTAAGTAAGTGACAAGCTTTTTTTTATACACTACCAGGAACTGAGAAAATCATTTCCTCCGTGATTTCCTGTCATTACAAGCACATCAAATAATCCCTTTTTTTTAACTACCAAACCTCAACCCCACTAAATAATTCAATAAGTAATCTTGTAAATTGCACAGAACTTCTGTATATCAATGTATCAGATGCATTTAATGTCACTCTAATACAATAACATAAAAATTTTACGAATAAACAGATAAATGGGCATACAAATACATGTATGATGTAATGTGCCAGTTTAATTGTTTTTCTCTTATAAGCTTACTGGAAATGTATTATCATGGTGCACACTGTGACCATTTGTATGGACGGTTCCATTCTTGTGGGAAATTCCATTGGCTGTTCCGTTGGCTGTGCCATTCACTGTTCCATTTTTCACTGTTCCATTTCTGTGTCTAAGATTCCCATTTTTCTAAAACAAAGGTGACATAATTAATTTTTTTCTGCAGAATGCAAATAAATCATTTTTATTATGCATATTTATCCCAGCACCCATCATTTTACACAGTAAGTGACAAGTGTTCACAGCGTAAATCATCCCAAAGGAATGTTTCTCTGTTATTGTATGATTGTAGAGAGACTTAGGAAATTTTTTCAAACATAGACTCTATTTTATTTTACATGTATAATGACTTGTGAATATTTTGTTTCTGTTTGCTAATTTACATTTTATATACATTAATTGTTTAAAAAAAATATTTTTAAGGGAAACATTCCTTACTACGGTAATTGAAAAATTATAAGCGGTAAAGCTCCATGAGCACTGTACACTTCTACATTTATAATCGGTAACCAATAAAACAGAAGGCATGCATATTGAGCTAAAAACTGATCAGTGTGATAGACAGGGACACAGGATCTCCATTGCTCACTAGATAACCCTAGACAATCTGATGGGGCACAAAGATGAACCCTAATGTCTGGTCTAACAGGATCATACTTGTAAGGCCATCTCTAAAAAATTGTTTGTTTGCCCTCTCCTGTCACCGACTGAATAAAAATGGCCCGTCTCAAAACTTTTTTCAAGACAATTTTTTTCTCTTTTTTATTCCTCATATCTGGTCAACAAATACAAATTAATATTGAAATTTTCCAGAAAAAAGATTTCCGCATCTACCTGCCAACCCAATATTTTTACTCTGGGTTGGGAGAGGACACAAAAACATTATTTTAAAGATGTCCTAATTGAATGCAAGCTGCTTTGCTTTTCTGAAAATGCAATTTACGTCCTCATTACCAAATTAAAGTCCAGACATAGAGATTTTACTAACTGTATCAGTCGAATTAAGAGCATTAAAACAGAAACTCTCTCATGTTTAACCCTAATCATTGGGATGTACCAGAAAGCTACGGATTCTTGGATCAGCTGACCTGGTGCCGTATGTTTCGTGGCTGTAATTTCACTTTATTAATTCATACATAAAAAAACACTTCTGCCTGGGCAGCTCTCTCTTTGTGATAATGACTGCAGATCACTAAAACCCATCTCTGGTAATTAAGAAATCTGATACACCAGGGAATAGTGTAGAATCAGCAAAAAGTGGCAGCGCAGGACCCCAACAGTGATATAAAGATACGAAATACTAGTATATACATATTAATTATTGAACAATACAGTAAGGTGATACATTTATAATGTACTTATTATTCAACATCACACCTGTGCCTAGAGAATGATGATACCGCCAGTAATTCTTTACTCGCCTTTTTTACTGTCCCTTTATTTAATGTTACATATACATTGTATTCTGAACTAACTGTTGAATTAAAGTTTCAGAACACTGGGGTACATGCCTACCTATACAGGTTTATAGCAAGAGTAAAATCACAGTGACATCTTCACGCCAAGTTTGCTTTCTTCACTAAATTTGATATTTTACATGTAATTATGCATTTGCATAGCATTTGGGCTATACAATCATACAATAATCAAGTAGACATATAAAAAGGCTTCAATCTGCTTTTTTCGGGTATGGTCTGGGGGGTGGGGGTGCACATTTTGGTTTGCCAATATTGTTAGCCATGGTGCAGTACATGTAATTATCATTGCGTCAATAAGTACAAAGAAACCTGCAAGATCAAGTATTAGAATTACCTGGGTAAATGTCATACTAGTCCAATTAGCCATTACAGGTTTTTATTTCATTTCTCGTTAATGATTATTGAAAAGTCACCAATTTAAAGGTACAAAAATCAATTGCCATTTATCATAGAGGCAAATGCCATGATTACATTCTACAACTATTACACAAATGTTGAATCAAAGAAATGCATACAGATAGCCAAGCATAAATACATGTATACACAAGTATTTATTTTCTTCTTAACAGCTATAAATTTTACTTTATTTTTTGAAAAGCTTAGCTTTTTCTCTTTGAAATCATTAACATGGTTAAACATGTTTTGAAAGCCTCATGAATTTTTTTTTTTTTTAATTATGAAATGGCCACTGTTTCGTTCCTAGTGTGAAAATGAAAATTTCATTTATCGATAAATGTTAGAGTTGTTTCAGGAAGAAGAAAGTGTGACAGACAGACAGATGGACCACAGAGAACAACAACAATACCCCCTGGCCCCAAACATCCTTAAATAAGTGCTTGTATAATAAACAAGAGGCCCCTGGGCCTTATAGGTCACCTGAGCATTATGCAACAACTTTCCAGTGATTGAATTTGATCCATGTTTTAAGCCAGATGCTATAGCATTTACAATTTGGTCATCATAACTATACACTTAGCAGTCAGGGATGGGGTAATCGTAATCAGTAATCGTAATCAGCTGTAATCGATTACAGTTTGCCATTTAATCATGAGTAATCAGTAATCACCCATTTTTCTGATTACAAGTACATGTAATCGTAATTTAATCAATTACTCTGAAAAAAGTCCTGTAATCATGATTACTTTTTTGATTACTTTATGATTACAATTATTAAAACAAAATTCATAAAATCATGATTTTTGATGATTTTCAGTGAATATTTTTCAGTTTACAAAATTGTTTATAAAAAAAAGTTATTAAGCTATATTTAATTAAATATCTTCTTCTAACGCTTCCAGAAATGCTTATAATCAGGTCCATTGTCCAGGCAATGAGTAAATTCTATCAGTTCCTTGCTATATTCAGTAGTCAGTTCAAAATACTTTAGCAGCTCAGCAATTCACTATTTTTGACAAGATATATGTAAATACTGATAGAAAATCTACAGGATCATTTTAAAGTTTGATTTATTTTGGTTTCAATTAATGAATATGCGTGTAGTGCAACAATTTGTTTTCCCTGTAAATCTTTGAAAAAAAATCTTTTTTATAGCAAATGTTCCTTTATTGAGGCGTATTTTAAAATTCACTTTGTTTGATTTACAGTGTACATGTACATAGAAAGATAATGTGAATTAATTAGTCATAAAACACAGGTATACTAAAGTTAGGTCAGCTTGGGTAATAGTAATTATTGAACTATCCATGCTTGTCCAGTCAATGTGTTAATTCTAGTAAAAACATCTACCAGGTAATAATTGGCAGTTTAATTGAAAAGTCCATCACTCGTCAAGAATGTCAATTACTTGCATAACAGTTCCCTATCGAATCCCTTTATCCCTACCTATCATTATGTCCAGTTTGATTTATTGAAAAAACTATGATAAAATCTTTTTTCTAATTCTCTCAATAGTAACAAGACATTTACTTGTATTAAAGATAGAAATCAGGTGATATAAGAGAAATATCATGCATCTGTATAAAGACATATAAAACCAAATTTTGTCTGAAATCTACCTTAAAATTATTAATGATATTTAAAATAGGAAGAATAAAAACATGATATTGTCCTTGAATATTGAACAAAAAATTAAAACTTAATGTAATCTTAAGTAATCATAAGTAATCATGATTACATGAAGGAAAAGTAATCAGATGTAATTGATTACTTTTAAAAATGTCTGTAAACAGCCTGTAATCGATTACTTTTAAAATCCAAAGTAATTGTAATTTAATCGATTACTTTTGAAAGTAATTGACCCCATCCCTGTTAGCAGTTCCTAGTTTGGTTACTTTATACCCATAGGCAGGGTAGGGGAACAAAAAATGCATTTCAACTAATCAGTAATATTCAGCAATAATCAGTAGTGCCGCTACCACACATGAACCCTTGACTCTTAGGCCTAGATCCACACATTGCACTATTTTTGGAAAGGAATACTTGCTTTTCAAAAATATTTGATTAATACCAAGGAGCACATTTCAAACAATTCATTCATTTTCAGTTCATAAGTATAGCCCCCCCCCCCCTCCCCACTATGGTACAACTGACCCTGGGGCCTTGAAATTTACAATTCTTGAAGATTAGGGATTGCTCATAACTATATAGGTAATTCATCTGCTTAAAACCTAGGAGAAAAGAAGAAAATATTCAAAGATTTAATGTTTTTTCACTATACATGTATAATCAATACAGCCCCGCCCTAACACCAGAATCCCTGACCCTGGGGCCATAAAATTCACAATTTTGGCAGAGGCACTCTTGCTCATCATAACTATGTACTTAGTTAGTTTATTTAATACCCAAGAAGAAGATTTTCAAAGAATTCATGTATTTCCTCTATATAATCAATAGAGCCCCACCCTGACACCAGAACCCCTGACCCTGGGGCCCTAAAATTCACAATTTTGGTAGTGGCACTCTTGCTCATCATAACTATGTACTTAGTTAGTTTATATAAAACCTAGGAGCAGAGAAGAAGATTGTCAAAGAATTCATGTATTTTCACTACATAATCAATAGAGCCCCACCCTTACACCAGAACCCCTGACCCTGGGGCCATAAAATTCACAATTTTGGTAGAGGCACTCTTGCTCATCATAACTATGTACTTAGTTTATTTAATACCCAGGAGTAAAGAAGAAGATTTTCAAAGAATTCATGTATTTCCTCTATATAATCAATAGAGCCCCGCCCTGACACCAGAACCCCTGACCCTGGGTCCATAAAATTCACAATTTTGGTAGAAGCACTCTTGCTCATCATAACTATGTACTTAGTTAGTTTATTTAATACCCAGGAGCAGAGAAGAAGATTTTCAAAGAAATAATGCATTTTCACTATATACTTATTTAGCCCCGCCCTAGTACAAGAACCCCTGACCCCAGGGCCATGAATTTCACAATTTTGGTAAAGGACTCAATGCTGATTACAATCATGCAAACAGTTTGACTGCTTGATGTCCAGGAGTAAAGAAGAAGATTTTTGAAGATTGCATTAATTTTAGTGGTTTTGGCCCCACCCCCCAGGCCCCAGGGGGGCAGGGATCATGAAATTCACAATTTTTGTTCCCCTTCACCCATAGATGCTTTGTGCCAAATTTGGTTGAAATTTGGTTGCAGAGAAGAAGCTGAAAATGTTCAAAAGTTTACGACCGATTGACGACGAATTACGAACGACGTACGACGAACGACGGACGACGACGGACAAAAACAGATAGCAATAGGTCACCTGAGTGACTCAGGTGACCTAAAAATAGTACTTACAATTGTACTTTCAGGACTGTCTTAAGAATAATTTCTGGTACGTTAATGTACATTGGATGCATACTGAGAGGAATATAGCTAATACGTACAATGGATGTGTATTGAAATGAACAGCTATGTGTAATGGGTGTATTGTCTTTATTTCAGTTCCCTGTTTATTCAAGCAGCAGTAAAAAAAAATGTTGAATAACTAATATGTTACAAATTATTGGTGGTCGCTGGCAGTGCTTATCACATATTCTGTAGTAGGCAAAGAGAAGATAATATTGTGAATACAGTCTTTAGAGTAGCAATGAACAAGAATAATATAGAGCTAATGTTTACTACAATCAGTACTGATTTACTGTAACAGGAAATAGCCACCATCAATGTACAGAGAGTTCAGCAATTGAAAATGGATCAATATCAGAAGAAATTCTATATGGATATACACAAGTCCAAATGCCAAAGATGAAAAAAAAGATCAGATTAAGAATTGGGTGGCAGAATGAAAAGCTAAATTAATCTACTTAATTCCCAACAATATATCTTAATTTCCAGAAGTTGGTTATCAATGATACGTAACAGGTGTGAACTTGTAAGACCAATCACTCCATGTTTCTCTTTTGTAATTGGTTTTCACAACAATCTTATGTTACAGAGATTAAAAATGGTGTTAGTATGAGAAATATCTATGTCATATGATGGAGGGTATTAATCAGATATTGTGAAATACAGCTTTAAAATAGCAATTACATTTTGATACTGACTGTTCTATTAACAATAATTTACCCCTATTCACATGAAAGTCATCATGCAGTGTATCTACATGTGATTGCATGATAAGTGTTAGTAGTATAATTATGTACTTATTATAGGATTAAACATTCTTTTTTAAAAATTTATCGATGTGTAAACTCTTGACATTTTACTCACAAACTTGAATGAAAGTGCAAAGCACTTTTATGTTAAGTTTGTGAGTAAAATGTCAAGAGTTTGCACATCGATAATTTTTTCCAAAAGAATGTTTAATTCTTATAATTCAAATAACGAATTTTTAAAATTATTTCTCTTTGAGGCCTCCATACAATCCGTTATTTCTGTATGGCGTAGGAATACTTTATACCGCAAACGAAATCGAGATGAATTTCGATAGAGTTCAACTTAAATTGTCGAAACAATCAATAAATAAACTTATAAAAACTAATCAAATGTTGTTTAAGTCAACAAATATCGTAATTATTACGAGTTTACTTCAGAATAGTTCGTCCTTGACCATGGTCATGTGATGTTGATATTAACGACAACGCTCAGAGCGAAAGTTGCAGACCGACGACGCCTTCGAATTGCACTGGTTTGTTCAAGGATTGAGGAAGAATAGAAAGTAATAATATGAATTTGATGCTAATAAGGCAAGAGTTTGAGGTACATTTCTTTTCCCTGTCAAGATGATACAAACTGAGCTGATTTGCTTCGTATTACGAACGTCGATCAGCGAATTTCAAAAAATTCACACCCATGATCCGACAGTGGCATAAACATTTTCAAGGTGTCCGTCAGCTGGTCAGTCCTGTTTGTCACCAGTTTTGTTTTATTTCATTAAATTTGAAGTTTCTTGTATTCATAATTTAGCTAAAACAGACCAGAAACAACTGCTTTCATTGTTTATAGGATAGCCTAGAAGCTTGGTAGAAAGTAGTTCTGATTGAAAAATTTATTGATGTGTAAACTTTTTCTTAAACGTGTTCTCGTCCAATCAAAACACAGGGAATCAATAAATAAAATGAAGATTGGAATTATTGCATAAAATAAAGGAATTCTGAAAAAAATTATGATCACATTATGACTTAATATTGCGTCATTCACGATCAAGGGCATGTATAAGTACAGTGTACAAAATATTTAAGTGTTTGGGCAGAGCCCTAATGAAGCACATACAATGATTCTTCATCATGTTCATAAAATAATCATAATTTTAATCTTATTCGAACAAGTGGGCACAACTTAAAGGATGGGTAAAATTTGTGAAGGAGGAAAAGAAAACTTAAATAGTGGATTTCATAGATATCTGTATAACTATTTTTACACTGTAGGCATGCATAAACGGTATCATTCTATCAAAATATTGAACAGGGTGAAAAAAATAAAATGATGGCTTTTTCATTCACAATCTTACATTCACACCACATCTTTTGTTAGCCAATACATACTACATAAGTTATAATTCAATAAATTAAATCAAGATCATTTAATAAACTACTAATCAATCATAACGTTAGACTTCAACTCAATGAGAAAAAAAAAAAGTTGAAACCTCAGAGTTAATTCTCAATATTAAGGTTAAACTCCATAAAAAAGGGAACTGAAGGGACTCACAATTTCCTTCAGCATACATGTACATGTATGCATGTTTTCAATTAAAATATTGACATTCATGATATGTATATAATTATATATATTTATATACAAAACATAACGTTAATCATTTATGAACTGTTAGGCTGCACAAAGCCTCAAGATATTAATAACAGCTTACAAAAATATGAAGATAAAATTTTATACATATTATCATGATTATATATAATTAACCTACACAAATATACCTACATATACACACCTGTACATGTAGTCACATGTACATAATTTAGCCCATCTTGCAGTGAATACCATGGTTTATGCTCTAGGAAAGGATTACATGTATGAATAGTTCATTATGTTCATTTAAGACTCTGGATAACACATAAACTTATACTATGGATATATTATTATATACTGGTATATTCTGTACTTGCAATCAATGAGTAAATTTGTACTGACATGGAATACACCACAGGGGCCTGTAACATACTGTATTTGATTTTACGTAATCACTATATATATATATATACAAAAAGAGAAAGGGAAACAACGTCAGCCCGAATTTACACAGGGTCGATCTCAGAAATATTTCGTATTCCATAAAAAAAAAACAATGCAGCAAATTAAATTTTAACTAGAATCATACTACAATAAATATTCTTTAATAAAACAGAAACCTTATTTATTTATATAGCGTTTAAGTTGGGTAATACTAACTCGATATTCAGTTGTGCGTGTCGACGTATTTTAAGTCGTCCACTAAAAGGAGGTAAATTTCATACATTTTCTCCAGTTTTTAAGTCTTTCCGGAGATGGAAAACACAAACTAAAGATCCAACGTTCACGAAAATCATTTTTTTCTTTTGTTAATTGCAGTTAAAATGTATAACCTCTCCAATTTGAATAAATACGGTGTTTTTTTCGTTCACAACAAGGCCCGAGCCTAGAACAGACGACATTTTGGAAAATCCATGATAGGTAAAAGGCGGAGCCTGATTGGTCAGATTTATTCTAGAAAAGCACTATTGACCAATCACATCTCGCGTTGAATCTTGGATGCAATGTTTACCGACTTTAGTGGACGACTTAAACTACATCGACTGCATGACAGGATATCGGATCTGCAAAACACGACTTACACGATTCTTAAATGACCGCAACGATATTTTTATTAAAGAGTGATTATTGCTGAATGATCCCAGGCGTTATTTCACTAACTGCAAGGTATTTTATTGAAAACACGAATCATTTCCGAGATCGACCCTGTGTAAATTTGGGTTGACGTTGTTTCCCTTTCTCTTTTTGTATACATATAGTGATTACGTAAAATCAAATACAGTATGTTACCGGTCCCTGTGGAATACACAGGGCACTTGGGTTTATGATGAATTTGGAGAAAGAGAAATATACATGCAAGCTAGTAAATACTGAATTGCAATTATAATGTACATGTTCATGGGTGTTGGGTGGTTATGTTCGGATTCCATTTTCAAACCACATGGTTACCACCCGAGTGGTTTTGACCTGCTCTTATATAAATCCCTATAGGTCACACTGTGCAGTAAAGAAAATGATATTTGGTAATTGTTTGGTAGCTGTAAACTGATTTGCTGCGAAGATGTAAGTGTCAATTATGAATAGGTCGTTGTTTCCGTATGCCAGTCAATAGTAAAGACGGTAAAAGTAACTTTTTTCTCTACTATGACAGCTAGAGCAAGGCTCTTGATAAATTTGATTTAGTACCAATTTATACTTGAAAAGTTTTCAATAAATATTAATCAAATACTTCTTCAAATGCTCAGTTATCACATGCATGTACTGTCTAAACGTAAAACAATATGCAATGTATATTAGATCTCCATATTATGCATATAAGAGGAAGAAATTAACAATTAGTATTATGTAATGCAAGTCAAGGTAAAATTCTAATATTTCCTACTTTTTAGTAATGTTTAATTGTTCAAAAAAGATCAGTTATATATCAAATGAATTAATGCACCTTAGCACGTACACCAGTGGAAATAAATCAAACAATATAAAAATTTGTCACCTGTATTTTCTTCTTCCCTGTCGCCCATTCAGCTTACGATATGACTAGCTTGACCGGGGGGCTAATTTGTAAGAACAAGTGGCTCATATGCATAATGAGTTACAAGTTTACTCGTGACCACTATAGCATTTACACAGACGTAGTAACATGACACCGGTTTGCTTAAATATATGCCTAGTACCCGAAAGAACATACATTTTAATATCTCACCTGCATTAAATTTCCAATGCAATATTTCTTTAGAATTGTATAGGCTGCTAAACTATGATGGTGATAAGTTTCACTTTGCATGTGTTGTGTAACATCTTTTCCAACATGTTTGACCAGGTATTCCTTTCCACCTGGGTGTCTGTCGGCGAAGTCCGTCACATCATAGACCTGGTCCCCTCTCAGGATAATTATTTTACCCTTTTCTATTTCTTCCTTAATTTCTTTCTCAGTGTAATAAATCATTGTTCATCACACTTCCACACACCAGAAGAAGATTGCAAAACTGCATCGGTGATCGGACCACAATGTTTATCTATTTACGGGTCGGACTAAAATAGGTCGATGCTGCGTACGTGGTAGCTAATGAGAGGAAAGGATATGAAAAACCGGATATGGCATAACCCAGATTACAGAAAAATTATATAAATTTTATGCTGGTTTCCTTAGATGAATGAATCTCCATGTGTAAATAATTTCAGTATTAATACAGTATTAATTATACTACAACTTTTTTTTCTTGATAAATAAAATTCGAGATACTAACTTTATTGTTTTTACGTCTCAATTTTAAAATATACAATAGAAAATTTATCATATATTTTTAAACATGATTTCAGCATTGATTTCACCATTGAAAGACCGGTATAAACCCTTACATATTTTAATGATTATTTAGTATTTTTCGAGAAAATTTCATTTAGAAATGTTTATCCATATATACAACGTGCATGAAAAAAATAACACTGATGTCTTAAAAAAGCAAGAACAAAAAACACTGATGTGGTCGAGCGGACATCCTTTCACATAAAATCTCTGCCGATTACAAGGATAGATTAAAAAAAAAAAGAAATATAAACGCCATGGAAACGGTACAAAAAATCATCAATTTACATTGTACAAAGTTAATTGTGAGCCAAGTTTTTGACAGTTACATCATATAGTACAGGGACAGCAAAGGAGCACGTGCATGGTCAAGTCTTATTTAATCACCAGCCTTTTGGTCAAGTCATATTAATTTAGTTCAAATATATCTCACTATGGAGAAAAATTAAATATTTAGATAAATTAATTAATTTTTTTAAAATCTCTTATTGTTAGTTTCACAAACAGTGCTAAATGTTCACTACAGAAACAACTTTTTATTACAATAACAGTGATCCATGTTTTCAAATTTGTCTCAAAAAAAAGTTTTGCCTCTTTTAAAGAATTTGATAGAGGAGACACTTTTTGACACTTAATTCCTTTCTTTTCGCACAATCCCGACGTTCCCTTTGGATCAAAACTAGTCCTATATACATTTAATCCAAAGATCCGAGGCGTATATTGTTTTGTCCTGTCTGTCTGTCCGTTTGTCTGTCTGTTTGTCAGCAAACTTTAACCTTTGCCATAACTTTTTAACCATGAATGTTTGAGACTTCATATTTTGTATGCATACTCCACTAATTAAGCTTTTTTAAATGATATGAAGGTCAATGACCTTATGACCTTGACTGCGACCTATATGCTAAAAATAGTTTTTTTTCTGCAAACTTTATCCTTTGCCATAACTTTTGAACCGTGAAAGATAGAGACTTCATATTTGGTATGCACACACCACTGATTAAGCTCTTTTAAATGACACCATGGTCAATGACCTTGTGACCTTGACTGTGACCTATACGCTAAATATAGCTTCTTTGTCGGCAAACTTTAACCTTTGCCATAACTTTTGAACAAAGAAAGATAGAGACTTAATATTTGGCCTGTATTCTCCACTAATTAAGCCCTTTCAGATGACACCAAGGTCAATGACATTGTGACCTTGACTGTGTCCTATATGCTAAAAATAGCTTTTTAGAACTTTCACCATAACTTTTGAACCATGAGAGAGAGAGACTTCATATTTGGTATGCATAATTCACTACTCAAGTTCTTTCAAATGACACCAAGATCAATGACTTTGTGACCTTGACTGTGACCTATATGCTAAAAATATTTTTTTTTAACTTTGTTGCCGCCGGGCGCATCGTGTTTCACAAACACATCTTGTTCAACAATTCATTGTATTTTACGTTAAAACTCAGGGACGTAGTATATTTTTTTTTATCAAAAGAAAAATAAGTATCGTCAGGTGCCTGTGCGTATAGCATCCTTTTTGAACTTGGGAGCAGCAGACAGAGAAAAAAACATTTAAAAATACCTGTTAAAAAACTTGATACGCATAATTTAAAAGTCCCTTGTCCATATTCAAACTACCTATTTTGTTGGGGGAGGGGGGGAGGTTTGTTGGGGGGTAAGTGTTCCAACTGCTTTCATTACCAACTAAATCTTATGGGGTTTGAACGATTTTTTCATACTGTACACATGATGAATAAGTGTAATAAATATAATTTGTGGTAAAAATGTCCAAATGAATAACGGGGGGGGGGGTGTCCTGCCAACAAGTACCCGTGGGTAAAATTCGCCGATTGTGCCCAAGCAAGACTTTTTTAAAAGTGTTACATGCAGTTCGTATCATACATGTATTGATATTGTAATATTTGAAAATAATTCGAACGTGCATGGCCTTGTGGCATGTATTTTGAAAGAGTTGTTCCTCTTTTGGTATTATTTCCCAAAGCATGCCCATTCATTTCTGCCATATCGATTACAGAAAATGTTGTTAAAAGTTAATTAAGAAACACACTCCTCAGATTCTCGGAACTCTAGTGTAAAATATATAAAGTCACAGATAATGCTCAACCATCTAAAATTCTTACAAAAGTACCGCTAGATTTGCAGTGTGACAATCTTCTTCCATGCATGTCGGAAATTATTCCAAATGCACTTTGGGTTAAGGGGTAAAAACATCGAGTATTATTGACGAAACGCACATTATGTTAATATTTTTATGTCACCGTAATCGAAGAGTTAGGGGTTATATATTTTTTACCCTGCCTGTCTCTCTTGTTTTTTCCGCAAAAACTGTAACCTTGTCCATAACTTTTTATTGGTCAAAAATACAGCTTTCACATTGCAAATTGTGACAAGGCCTTTCTTTCGGTAAAAGCATATTTGACTCATGACCTTGACCTTGGAGATTGACCCACTTTTGCTAGAATTTAACCTTGGTCATAACTTTTTGAACAGTTGGCGTCAGGGCTTCAATTCATACTTCGGATGATCAGATCCCATGCATCTGCGAGAACATCGCGGAGTGTAAATTATGTCATCCCGTTCGAATCGGATAAAAAACAATAACTGAGTATCTTATTAAATATTTTATTTACATATAAATGTACGAAGAACATTACGTATTTAATGCCTAAAAAACATAAACCTGCTAGCGGAACTTTCATCCAATTTCCCTGGTGTAAAAGGATATTTCTAGGCGTCCACATCAAATGAAATCAACTTTGCTCCTGGATGCCGAAGTTCTTCTCTGGAAATATTTGTAAAAACAGTGTTGAAATTACGGGAAAAAAATAATTTCATTGCACTGAGTACTTTGATTAAGTGTTGCGATCTTGGGTTAGGGTAAACTTTTAGGGCATCTGTTGTTGCTTTAGGACATAGGTGCATATATGTATGAGTCTTTTGACAATAAGACATGGATAGCATGCAGCTTATTAGGACCAGATTTTATTTATGAATATGGGAGTTTCTCGTGGAAATCCCTGTCATACGAAAAATTTCAAAGGTCCGTATGACGATGATATGCTCTAGAAGAACACAACCACGATTGAGTTGCATGATATTTTGCTGAAGATTCCAGGTGATCATGATGTGTTAAACAATTTTCTGTTGAGTAAAAGAAATCAGTAGACTTATAAATACCAGTTTCCTGTTTTAGTTTCATAAATCTATTACGTGTTTAGATCAAGTTGATAACACTTATCTAACCTCCGGTACATCATCTCACTGAAGATTGTTTTACGTGATCTTGTACACATGTACATGTATTTTCTAAATTATCTTTTTTTTTCTTCTTCCCCTTCTTGTTAAAAACATTATTATTTGTTAATTAATCAATTAATTAATTTTATTCTTGCTTTTATTATTATTTATTGTATTCATTTATATATATTTTTTATTAATTTTATTTTATTCATTTATTTGACTATTATTATTCTTTATTTATATTGTATTTATCTATTCATTTAGTCAGTTAAAGGTGGTTACTGTTTTGCTTGTGAGTAGATTTGTTTAATTTTGACGATCGAGAGTGTGGAACTTTCCCTGTCATGCTATCTCCTGTGTATCTACGTAGAGATTACTTTCACTTAATACCACTCCACCCTCCACCCCGCCTCCCCCCAAAAAAGTAACCTCCCCCTTCAAGTATGATATATTACATACATGTATGAAGAAACATTTCCTCTCTGCTTGAGTAAAATACGAGTAAAAAAAAGAGGAAACTTAAAAAAGTAAATTTGACTAAGCACCCAGTGACTTATGTGAACATGCCTCTGAATCTGGTGTACATAAATATAGATATAATTTATACACTGTTATACTTATCTTTAATATTCAGACAAATAAATATAGACTGTCCTTGTATACGTCGTACTACAAAGTTCAAATATTACACATATTTACATTAACACGTGTTATTACAGTTTCTACGCCTTTGGATTGCAGAATTTTTTGCAATGTCTGTATATTGTGTTAAACTAGACGATACGTAAATTACGAATACGAAGTTATACCTGATGATGTCAACCACCGTTATTAGAATTATGAGCATATGCAGTATATAAACATTAGGCCACACCAATTTAATTTCTTGTTCGTCGGACATTGATGAAAAAAAAGTATTGAGCGGGCTAGCGGTTAAATAATAATATTATTACTTTTTTGCAGGCAAAATTTTTAGGTGGGGCGTGAAAAAATTTGAGCGGATAATTATACATTTTTTTTTGATTAGGCTAGCAGAGTAAGTAGATTAAAAGTACGATAAATAGAGCGGAAATTGAGCAGAAGATAGCACAGAATTCCCATGGTGCGGGTAATTTAAATTAATATTATTTGATAAGTTCTGTTTAAATACGAGCGCGCGGGTACGACGAACAAAAATTTTTTATTGGTGTGGCCTTAAACAAGAATATATGTGTCAAAATATAAATATATGAACATATGTAATCATAATTCATATTATGCATGCATTATTAAATAAATAAATTAAATCATTATTCAGTGAATTTCTCAACTTATCCCCAAGCACAATTATTTACTTATCAATGAATGGTTTTTATTCAATAAAAAAATACCCCATAAGATTTCTCTTCTAATATAAAGTGGGGTATTTTGTATGCTCCTTAATCGAAGATTCGGGGGTACCAGGTATATAGTTTTTGTCCTGTCCTGTCTGTCTGCCTGTTTGTCTAACTGTTTCACAGGTCTGTTACTTGTAACAAGAACTTTCTTCAGTCACCACCTTGGACATAACTTTGAAATAGCAGGTGAATGGGATTTTATACTTCACATATTCATTGTGACAAGAATTTTCAGTGGGTATAAAAATATTTGACCTCTTGACCTTGACTTTAGAATTTGGCCCAATTTAAAAAAAAAACCTTGACAGTAAGGTTTAAACCATGCGTACTACTAAGGACTTTCATATTTCACAGTTGTTTACGTTGTGACAAGACCTTCCTTTGGATACGAATAATTTTGACCTTTTGACCTTGACCTTGGAGTTTGACTTGCATTTGAGAAACTTCAACCCTCGTCATAAGCTGCCATGCGATAGGAACAGTGTTTCACAAACACATATTGTTTTCTTTTAACATTTTGACCTTGACCTTAGAGTTTGCCAATTAAACAATCTTTAACGTTGGCCATATCTTTTGAACAGTTTGCACTCGGGCAAGTGTATTTCATGTGACAAAACCTTCTCCTGCATACTATGATTTCTTACCTTTTGATCTTGACCTTTGAGTCTGCCCTACCTTTGAAAAAAAAGATGTGGCTGTGACACATTAATGCCCCCGTACTGCAGCTTAAGGCGAATGTTGAAGTTTATCAAATGCAAGTCAAACTCCAAAGGTCAAGGTCAAAAAGTCAGAATTGTTGGTATCAAGCGGAAGGTCTTGTCACAAGCAATACATACACCTGTGAAAGCCCTAGTGCTAACTGTTTAAAAGTCATGGCCAAGGATTAATTTTTTTTAAAAGTGGGTCAAACTCCAAAGGTAAAGGTCAAAAGGTATCCAAGAAAGGTCTTGTCACCATAGATACACATGTGAATTGTAAAACAAGGTATGGCAAAGGTTTAAGTTTTTGCGGTCAAACAGACAGAAAGAGGGACAGGACAGGAAAAAAACTATATACCCCGAATCTTCCAATACACGGGGACAGAACATTGCTATAATTTAAAGGACTTAATTAATTCTTATAATGCTCCATCACCTTAACTCTGGGAATAACAGCTTTTTCTCTGTCTGTTCGTTTGTTTGTTTATTATCGTAACATATTCAACAACTGTCTTGGTTTCTCTTCTTCTATACGTAACATCAATGGTATTCCGTAAATATACATATTCAAACATTTCAGACCCTTGGAGCCAAATAACTAGAAGCATGCCTCGGGTAGGGATTGAGTTCCACAGACCTATTGCTTTTAACTATTTATTAATCGAAAGAAAATATGACACCACTTTTTGTCCTTCCAGTTGAAACATTTTTTTATAAAATCAGAAATGCAAACCACGATGCAACAATTTGAATAACCAACAAGAAATCAATCCCGCAAAATTTGCATCACAATGTATAGATTATATGTATTAAGTGATAAAGAAAGACATCGATTCCTCAATGGCAAGTTAACATTTGACTTGTCTTGAACTGACAGAGAATTGAATTCTGGGAGTTATACTTGGGTTGCATTGTGAGTATCGCAGCTCGTTATCGTGACTGATTGGTTTTTATTATTCAGCGAGAAATGCATTGATTAGTAATCAGAAATCATCAGGTTTCTTACTTATTCCTCCCCCAAGACGAACATGCTTGAAGCCTAAGCTCCTGTAATGGCGTGCGACATTTCTAATCTGATTGCAGCAATCAATGAGACCAATAGAAGCAGAATATGGTCAATATAGGGAAGGCTACTTTCCATATTTTTTTTTCTTTTTGATAGGGATGTCAGAATATTTATTTTCTTTAGTCGAACATTCGATTGCATTATTCGAACGATAGTCGACTATTCGGAACATTTTTTGATCTCCTAGGTAGTGTATTTATAACTCTAAAATCCTTTTCATAAACTTATGTAAAAAGTAACAGCAAACGTCTATATTACACACCAATGTTCAGAGGAACCTATAGCATGTAAAGTAGGGGTAAATGCTGAAATGAAATATGTTTATACCAGTACTTTTCCAAAATATATGAATTCTCGTGAATCACATTCATAAATCGGTCTGTACAGTCAGTTTTCATTCTATAGTACGCTTATAAAGTTTTTAAAGCTTACTAAAATAAATTAGAAAAGGGGTGGGGTAAACACACACTATCCACACCTCTGGTGATATTGTGGTTAAATTTAGCTCAATTGTTCAATCAATGATTACCCGGCTATCAAAATGTCCTTACTTTGTAAGATTATTGTTTTAATAATTATCGAAGTTTCAAAACTTTACGTCTATGGTGTTTCATAGCATTTGAACATTCTTACTGGTAATAATTCAGTTTATAATTGGTATTTGTCCAATTAATAATTTTCAAAGTCCAGTATAGCGCTACATAATTTATCACAATAACAAAAAAGGTCAGTAATTGAGAACTAATTATCGCAATATGAAATGACTTTCCGTAAGTACATGTACATGTACAACGTGGAAAATTATTTATCAACTGTGAATGTGTTTGAGCTAGCTCTTATTCGTCCGAGGACGAATACATTAATGGTTTAAGGAATGACACTTTTTTCATATTTTGAGATGAGAGTTTCTTTATCACCTCCTTTTCTTGCATTTATTTGATATTCGAATGTCGTTTCATTATTCGATCGTCGGTCCATTCGACTGATGGTTGAATAGTCGACTATTCGTTAACATCCCTACTTTTTGATTTATGTTCTAGTTGGGAAAGCCACGAAATGAGATAAATAAAAGGAGGAATCGGTTGTCAACCAATTAAGAAAATCAATTATAATTGCGATAGAGTCCCACCCACAAATAAAATGATATAAAGAGTTTTTTTTTTAATATATCATGGAATTGGATATTTTCATCAATCTAAATTTAAGGTGGATCTGTCAAAATGTAAAGAATCATCCGTGGTTTCAAATGTTACATGAATGAACGCCGCCTAGCGGACGGGCGAAAGGGTCGTCATCGATTGGTCGTGATCCCGGGAATCTTTTCAGTTTCAATATTGTTTTCTATGCAAATACGTGTTTCTAAATTTGGAAAACAATCTTGGAGGTATGGAGAGACCCAAGAGGGACAGGATTGAAATGGGTAGTCTTTTGGAAGAAAGTGAATCCCCAGACAAATTATCCCCAGTTGGAGGCGAGGAACATAAAAGTCTTCAAGTACCCAGTTCCGAACCTTCATACGGAAGTACCTTAAGTATTGGACCGGAAGCAGGACCGGTAGCTTCTACGGCAAATCTGCTGCGAATTGATCTTGAAAAGAAAATCAGCAGACACACTGGTAAGTATTTAGAGATTTACATCATTTTTCACTAATAATTTACAATTAATTACATTTAAAAAGCTGAATTCACTTTTCCACCGCTTTTTAAAACATTGAAACAGAAAAAGATAATGCATACTAAAGTTTAATTCAAAAGAAATAATGACCATTTATATATAATGTATATGAATGAGATACGCGCAAAGTAAATGGTACAATTCTATAAATAATTTTTCTAAGAAATATCGATTAAGAAATCTAAATAATTTATTTTATTTCACTCTGGATTGATATCACTTATTCAGTATATAAATGTTTCCACAAGAGACTGAAATGTAACGATTCACCCCTGTCTGCAATATAAAACGGACGAGAATCTCAGAGATAAAACTACTGGGGACCTTATGTTTATGGATACTACGTAAATGATGAGAGATTTTTTTCCCATATATAAAGCTTTATTGCGTGACTTGCATTTAGTGTTGTGGACGAAAGTTTCTCATGTTTTCGCACTCTTGGAGCAGACATTGATTTGTTTTAGGTTATAAAAAAAACCATCGACAGTCGGAGACAGGAATGAATAGAGTTTTCTATAGACCTGGAAAAATCACATTTCTAAACCATCACAGTTGAATAATCTTCTCTTTTTTATGTTTTTTATGAAGTTTCAGGGGTATATCCTTTTTGCCCCGTCTGTCTGTCAGTTTGTCTGTGTGTACGCAAAAACTTTAACCTTCCTGATAACTTTTGATTGGCTGGAGCTTTCGTATTTCACAAATATTTCAGAAGTGTATTCCTTGTCATAAGACCTTCTTTTGGGTACCAATATAATTGACCTCTTGACCTGACCTTGGATTTTGATTGGATTTTGCTAAATACTCCAAACAGTTCAAAAGATAAGGTCAAGATGAAGCTTAAAAAACTTTTAGGTCAAGATCAAAATATCTATATTACTTAAAAAGTTTTGTCACAATGAATACACAGTGTGAAGAGTAAATGTCCTTTAACACAAATGACAAGATTAAAGTTTGATTTTTTTTTTAAAAGTTGGGCAAACTTCAAGGTATGCATCTCTTGGTACCCAAAGAAAGGCCTTGTCACAAGGCGTACACTTGTGAAATATGAAAGTCCTAGCTCCACCCAATCAATTGTAATCAGCAAGGTTAAAATTATTACGAGCAAACAGACAGACAAACGGACGGACAAGGCGATATACTAACTGACTCTTCAAAGGTTTAAAATGGTCGTTTTCCAAACCTTGATATATCCAAAGAAATATTTCTCATCGCATATCTGCTCCACTTTGATGAGTTGGTTATTGCTTTAAATGTAACAGGGTTTGGTAGAAAAAGAACCCGTCAGATGGTCTAGAATAAAACATACATTTACCTGAAATTTGTTTCGGTTGTTGTTGTTTGTTTGTTGTTGTTTTTCTTTTTTGAAAAGAAAATGTTAAAGCTAACACCAAATACGGGACCTGTGTATATGTTTTCCTTCGCTGGCGAAGGACATAGAAAATAAATATTGTATAGCATCTGTTCTGGATAGTAATTTTTTTTCAGGGGAGGAGAGAGAGTCGTGGGACAGCCGGGCGGAGTTCCTGTTATCCCTGGTTGGGTACGCCGTGGGGTTGGGTAATGTCTGGAGGTTTCCTTATCTGACCCAGAAAAATGGTGGAGGTAAGGACAAATTTAAGATGAATTATTGAACACAAAGTAGCACAATGATCGTCTAAAAGTCGTCTTTCAGTTTTAATTTGATTCTACATTTTCCTCCCTTTTTTGACTCCAGTCGATAGAGGGGGTGTTAGGATGGAGGAAAAAATTATTACATAACAACACGATGCCATTTGTTTGTTTTGTTTTCTTTAAAGTCCCTTTCGAGAACTTTTCACACAAATAGAGATGCCACGCCGGTTGAGGACTGCAAATTTTAGACCTATACAATTGGCATTCAGGGACATTGAGTAAGATATCTTTTTCGTGCCAGAACATGGCTGCAACACAGGATCATGGTTTAAACGGTCTCATCCGAAGGACCAATCATCACTGCCTACAAAGGAATTCGACAACGCGACGTTAATTCTTAACATTAATCTTACAGTTCTAACAATCTAAAATACAATTTAAAAGCCCGATAAATCAACAAATGAAAAGTCTCAAAATCAAACTTCAAACATCCACTGAACGACGAGAGATGCTTTAAAGCCGATTGTGATGTCTCTGCCCTTGACAAGATTATAAGACGAGTGTTATATCTGAGAGTCATTCATCAACCAAGGTCTCTAATCTGACAAAAGGAAACTCGATTGTTCTCAAATAATTAAATTCGAATGGTGATATCTTTTCTGTTTGGATGAATTGTGAAATATGTGTTGTTGTTGTTTTTTGTTTTTTTTGGATAAAGATTGTATTCAGTATCTCTCTTTCTCTTTCTTAAATCGATTTACAGTGCAACAAAATTGTTTTCTTCACTTTCACTGAGAATGGGTGTACAAATGCATGACTCTTTGGTTTTTCTATGTCTGCCATTATGTCTATTTGGAAAAATTTTCGTTTCCGTGCGTTGCCTAAAAGGCTTTTGAGCTTTGCATTGAATTTTATTTCACTACTCCCTACTACATAAAGAAGACTTATATTGATTTTGAGGTCAAAAGGTCAAAAAACAGAAACTCTTAAATTGCAAAAAAAAAAAAAAAAAGGTTTTCCTTGAGCTTTTACACTGAATTTTATATCTTACCTTACTTTTTTTCGCATATATTGTTGGCAATCCCTGGTGTTTCTTTGGTGTAGGTATCTAAATTTAGGATTTCACAAATGTGACTTCAATAAGCATAGTGATGAGAGCATTTATTTTCATAAAAGTTGTCAATTTTATACTATCCAAGACTTTCTTTTTTTTTTTTACCTTAACAGCTTCCCCTTTAATAAAAATGTACAGATATACAACAATTTTGGATATTATTTATAAACATGTACATGTACATGTAGTACAAAACTTAAATTGTTCGATTTTATTTTAGGAGCTTTTCTGATTCCCTATGCAGTAATGTTAGCCATAGAAGGAATTCCGCTGTTTTATCTAGAACTTGCCATTGGACAGCGCCTGCGCAAAGGATCAGTCGGTTCTTGGAATCAAGTGTCCCCTTATCTACAGGGCCTAGGTTTGGCTTCGGCTGCGGTCTCCTTCAATGTGGCGCTTTATTACAATACAATAATGGCATGGTGCATCATATATTTGGTTCAAAGTTTCCAGAGCCCTCTACCTTGGTCGGAATGCCCAATGGTTCAGATGGGAAATTCTTCAATCAAAGAACCAGAATGTGAGGTGCATAGCTAGATTTTCCCCCTCTTTGTTTGCGATTCAGTTTTGCATTTCAAAGTGCACTTTTTGAAGCTTTATCAAAGTTATTCATTTAAATAAAATTAAAATTTATAATTAGAGAGAAGCAAGAAAAAGATGGTAGATTTTCAATGTATGAAAATATAGTTTTGCTTATTTCGATAAGAGAAGTGGTCCAACGACTTATTTCTGGTACCGTGAAACTCTGAACATAGCACCTTCCATAGAGTCAGTGAGCGTTATAAACTGGAAATTGGCGCTCTCCCTCCTGGCCGCTTGGATCATTGTGTACCTGTGTATGATCAAAGGGATCAAGTCATCCGGAAAAGTAGGCAATTCCGTCATACAAATTCATGAACAATTTAAAAAAAAAATGAACAGATTACCATGTACCGCAATTCCAGCCTATTTAAATTGTGATTGACCAAAAACAAACTCAATAAATGTTTTAGCTTCCAAGTGAAATCAATAAATTTTCAAATTAAAGACCAAAAAGGCGCCTAAAATAAGAATAAAGTATTATTTCACAATGTGCATACCGTATATATTATATGATAGTTTTTTGTTCGAATTCACTGAAGATAGAACATTTATAATACCTGAAATTAAATATCAAAAATGTCTAATAACAGTTGATGACCAATTTTTTCCTTACAGGTTGTGTATGTCACAGCGACCTTTCCCTATCTCGTCCTTATTATATTTTTCTTCCGAGGAATTACATTACATGGATTTGAGAGAGGACTAGAACATTTATTTGTCCCAGAGGTATTCAATCCAATTACCAAAATTAACACATAGTTGCCTTATTCTCAGAATCTGCTTTAACCGATTATCGTCCATTCTTTACATTGTTATTCTTTGTACACTTCAGAAAAACATCGTGTCATGTTCAGTTATTATAACCAAATCGTATTCTTCAAAGTACGTAATAACATAAAATAATATATATTATAATTTGTATGAAAATTGTGCTTAATAAAGTGAAGAAGTATTTAATGAGGAATTTCATCCGAAATGATATGAATATCAAAAATGAAATAGATCACTCTTAATTTAATTAATTTGGGTGGGACCGGTCGGCAGAGGATGCTTTTTCCTTTAAGGCACCTGATCCCACCTCTGATGTTTTTGGTGGTCCATGTCAGTTCTGCTCCTGAACTGCATTGTTTCAATGGGCTTTTGTGAGTTTGAACACTGTTTGTTATAACCATGTTTCATAAAATGAACTATATTTGATTAAGGATACACCTTACTTTTGACGTGTACTAGTATGTATATTTTGATTGACAGTGGGGGAAGCTATTTGAGCCTGAGGTGTGGCTAGATGCGGCTACACAGATCTTCTACTCCTTTGGTTTAGCCTTTGGGTGTCTGATTGCCCTGTCTTCCTATAACCCGATCAGGAATAACTTCGTCCGTGAGGCCCTGATTGTCACCATCGCGGACTTCTTCACCTCCATATTTACAGCCTGTGTCGTCTTTTCAGTCTTAGGTAATTATTTTTAATTTAATTTAATCTATCAAAAAAATCTACTGGTAATTTTGTTGAAAATTGCTTTTTTTATGAAAATTGCAACGTTTTCGCGTTTCTTGTACAATTTTGAAGTTTTTGACTGTAAACAAGATACACCAATGTCCCCATACGACAGCTTATGACAAAGGATAAAGTTTCTCAAAAGCAAGTCAAACTCTTGGCCCAGTGTAAAAAAAAATCACAAGAAAGATCTTGTCTCAAAAGCCCGTGAAACAAGCAAGAAAGCCAAAGCACCAGCCGTTCGAAAGATATGGCCAAGGTTAAAGTTTGGTAAATTCTTGCAAAAGTGGACCACAATTCCAGATCAAAAAGTCGAATTTGCTTGTACCCAAAGAAAGGTCTTGTCACAAGAAACACGGTTTTTTGAAAATATGAAAGCTATAGCTCTAAGTTCCAACCAGTCAAAACTTGTGGGCAAGAATACAGTTTTTGCGTGCAAACAGACAGCTAGACAGACCAACAGACGAACAGCTGGAAGGGCGGTCTGGACAAAAAATACCCTCCGAATCTTTGATTAGGGAGGCACAACAAATTCTCGGATGCATCTCTTTTACACATTCATCTGAAACCACAAACAAGCAGTGGTTGCATTTACTCAAACGTATAAGTTCGGAAGAAAGTGATGACTGTGTAATAATCAATTTGTTCAAAGAATGAATTGAGGTGTATATCAATCACAACTAGTGCTAATTGTAACGGGGACCGTTACAGATGTTCCCCAAACGCTCCCCAACTCCCTTTTATAGTAATATTCCCTGTAAGCGTAATTAAATAAGACAAACTCTATGCATTGGAGATTTTAACAACATTTACCCAAAAGTGTATCATGTTCATCCAATTTTTATCATTGCACGCTTGCGCACGCGAATGCATTTGCGTAATGACCATATCATATTGTCTACACAATCTATATATTTTAATATGCTAAATATTTAAGTATTTAATTCAAAAGTATATTAAAAAACGCTCATTCAAGTGTATTTTTGATTTTACCCATTTCACGTGCACGCACGTGCATACATGAGCATGGTGACCATACCTTCTTGTAGAAGTTCATTACATCTATCTATGTTCCAAATCCCACCCCGTTTGGTTGAAAACCAAGGGAGTTATAGCTGTTTAAAGTTTCAGCCAATCAGATTGCAGCATACGTACATGCACATGCATGCATGTGCATGGAGACCATACCTTCTTGTAGAAGTCCACTATATCTATCTATGTTCCAAATTCCATCCTGTTTGGTTGAAAACCAAGGGAGTTATAGCTATTTAAAGCATAAGAAAATCAGATTGCAGCGCACGTGCATGCATGCAATTTCATGATAATTGCTATATATTTTTTGTAGGATATCCTAATACATGTCTATGTTTAAAATTTCAAAGGATTTCGTCAAAAAACAAGAAAGATTTTGAGACTTTAGTTTCAGACAATCAGAGCGAAGCGCACGTGCATGCGCGTGAGATCTTGCTTTTTTGACCATGTCATCTTGTCTATGCTTCTAATATATACTTATAATATGAGTTTCAAAGCATATCATCAATAATTTAAATAGTTACGTCTGTATCAATTATATTGGACATTCCTCGTGTTGCACGTGCCAGCTCTTGCAAGCACACGTGCATGCACATGCTTTCATGACAATTCTTATATAACAGGCTGTAACCTCCCTAATGTATGACTATGTTCAAAATTTCAAATGATTTTATCAAAAAACAAGAAAGATTTTGAGACTGTAGTTTCAGCCAATCAGAGCGAAGTGCACGTGCATGCGCATGCGATCTTGCTATTTTGACCATGTCATCTTGTGCATACTACTCATATATCCTTACATTATGAGTTTCAAAACATTTCGTCAAAAAATAGAAAAGTTACGGTTATATCAATTATAAATTGGTCATTTTAAGTTTTGCACGTGCGCGCTCTTGCAAGCACGTGCGCGCAAAATGACCTTGATTCCGCAAATCTACATAACATGCCTACTTACCCTAAAAAGGTTTCACCTAAGTCGGATGTGTAGTTTACAAGATCACTCGCGGACAAGATTTTCCCAGGAAGAAAAATAATAAGAATAATAATAATAAGAAACAGAGTAAAAACAATATGTTCCCCAACTTCGTTTGGGGAACATAATTAACCCACAAACTGCCGTCTTTTTCTTCAAAGTGATTGATTTTAAAAAAACTGAACAGAGTTATAAATCATTAGTAAATTAACGTTTAAGGTTTGCATGCTGTGGAAAATTAGAGTGTTATGGGTGCGATTGATTTCGTCTTCAATAAAAGATGGAATTCTGTGTCAGAAAATGTCTAGACATGATTAAAAACTTCAGTGCTCTACTTTTTGTTGAGTAAAACTACATATATGTTTGACCTTGATACTCGTACATGCTCGACTATTTTAGTCATAAATTGTTTGATTTATACTGATATAAATACGTGTCGTATTAGATGGAGACAATTTTGTCAATCTTTCAAATTTGGCATGTCTTTATAATTTATGTAAATACATATGGACACTTCTCGTCAAAACCAGAATCTGAGCAAATACTGCACAGTTTATATTTCTCATTGTATTCAACTTATGGAATAAATTCGTCTTTAACCAGCTAGTTGAGACATGTGTTTGTCCGAGTATAACAATGACAGTGATTGGTTTCTTAATTTATTTGACAAAAAAATCCCCAGAGAACACTTTCATTGATCACAATTTTCCTGTGCTCGGTAATGTCTCGAGAGATTCACCACTGACTGGCTCTTTACTTTCCAAAAATAACAATTTTAATATTATTGAAAAACTTGTTGTTACCTGCTGTTATGGTGCGAAAAAAAATGTTAAAATGGTACGGAAATACAGGAAGTGTCGTGATTTTTAATACTGCGCCTGCGTCAATTAACGGCTTATCGGCTGCGTTTTAAATTACACCCCGTTTAATGTGCACTACAACACTACCTCTAGAATGACAAATTATCAATAACGGCCAGTAAAACACTTTATTATCAAACGCGTTAAAATCAGATAGATCATGTTCCTAATATTGTTTTTCTAGGTTTTAAAGCAACTATGGCATACGAAGATTGTCTAGCAAAAGACGAGAATACAACATTGGAAAATGGAACAAATACAGTTTGTGATTTCAAAACCATTATTTCAGAGGTATTTTTTCCTCTCGCATAGACCTATAAATATACTTCCATATAATTACAAAGATATAGGTATGATTTACAAAGAAATAAGTAAACCGAGATTAAACATATCTCTATTTTTTTCCAACCAACTAAGATATGATTGATATGGTTGTTTTAGTGTCCGTTATTCTTTCGCAAGATTTTCCTTTTCTCAAGTCTTTGAAGCTAAAGATGCTTTATGATATTTCTCCATTGCAGTCGGGATCTGGTACAGGACTAGCTTTTATAGCTTTTACAGAAGCCATCAACCAGTTCCCTATCGCCCCTCTCTGGTCTGTACTGTTCTTCCTCATGCTCTTCACGCTAGGATTGGACAGCATGTTTGGTACACTAGAGGGCGCTTTAACGTCTATCAATGACATGATGCTGTTTCCAAAACTCAGAAAAGAAATACTGTGTGGTTTGTAACTTTGTATCAGAACAATTTCCAAGTTGACAAAATTGATATTTTCTTTTGTAACAAAACGTTCAATCTTTTCCAATTTGAACATTTAAAACACTACATGTAAATATTATAAGTGTGAGTTATTCATCTATTACACGTATCTGCAATGTCCTACCGGGGGTATTTTAATACCACGTCATATTCTCCAAATTATTACTGTAAAAGATAATCGTGTATATTTTCGAAGAGTAATGACATTATAAGATAAGCCTAACGTCTGTGACCTACTTTCGATATTTTAACTTTCATTCCTTAATTACTTTGTAATTGAAATTGTCTGGGTTTTTTTTTATTATTCCAGGTATTGTCTGTCTGGTATCTTTCCTGATCTCGCTGTGTTTCGCCACCAGTACCGGATCTTACGTCTTCAGTCTCTTTGATTCCTTCTCAGCCAATATACCATTGCTGATTATAGCATTCTTAGAATTTTTAGCAATGTCTTACATATATGGTCTTCAAAGGTAATTACTGCAATCAAGATTGCTTGTACGGAATGCAAGTTACGTGTATAATAGACTAAAGTATCGTGCCAGGTATCGTTTTATCCTCAATATTTTCCTAAATAAGATCATTAATGTAGTTGTCTTTTTGGAAACACTGATTTCTGTTAATTTACAATGTCTAACACACAAGAGTTTGTAAGTTCAATATCTGGAAACATCTAAGAGCCTTGTAATATTTTTAGAGCAAACGTTTCTAAAATTAGAAGCAAAAACTAAATTGGTAGCCTAAAATTATATTGATGTCAAAATATCTCAAAATGGTTTCGTTTATTAAAAGGTAAGGTTAAAATTTTATATTCAGTATGTTTTTGTTTTATTTTAAAGGTTATGCAACGATATAGAACTGATGATCGGAAGTCGCCCCGGATATTTTTGGTTACTGTGTTGGCGGTTTATAGGCCCAGTTGCTATGATCGTTATTTTTGTTGCAAGTCTTATAGAAATTTTCTCAAAAGGAGTCAGTTATGAAGTGTGGAACTCATTAAAGGTATCGTTTTAATTTTTTCTAAAGTGCAATTAGTATAAGAAGCTTAGACATCAGTAGAAAGAAAGATTCAAATTTGATGGCCTGGCGGATACGATTTACCGGTATCATTAGCTTCCAATTTAAGTAAAGGGTCATGTTAAAGAAAGATGGAAAGGGTGCTGCAAATTGATTTGATATCAATAGCATTCCATTCAAGTGACCAGAGAAATACGCGAATCAACATGCTATTCACATATCAAAAATCAGAACTGTTTGTCTTTAAAAGGATGTTTCTGTGGTAGAGCAGAAGATCCATAGGCCACGATACCCACCCGAGTCACTATCCTGCTGTTTTTCATCAGAGTTTGTAGTTATAACAAACATAAAAGTTATTGTATGAAAAACATTTTTTTTCTATTTCATTACTCGGAAATTAATTGATTTACGTGATTAATTTGTAGGGGTACACAGAAGTGGTGCCGTGGCCCTGGTGGTGCCAGGTGATAGCGGTTCTTCTGATCTTATCGTCCGTGCTCTGGATTCCGCTGGTGGCCATAGTGAAATACTTCCGACTTATAGACTGGAAAGAGGAAGTTCCGGCCTACTTCCCGGAGGAAGAGCTGGCGGAGGAGAGACAATATCAACCACATATCAGTAGCAAACTAGAACATATTCTGTTTGGATTTAGAGAGTAGGAATATAGGAATAGTATAGAAAAAAATATGTTGTTGTCACCAGTGAATATAGGACTATTCAGAGAGCAACGTTACGCGAATATTTGCACGGTTGTTCTCATGACCAGATGTAAACTTCCAAAGTAGTAGTACTTAGAATGAGGTTACAATAGTGCCAGACACTGAAACACAACAAGGATGAATACGAAAAAAATAGTAAAAGGGTCCTAAGTGAACATTTTTAGTTTATAAAATTACATGCACGTTGTATACCAGGTATGTGTAATGACTGTGCATTGGAAAGACAATAATCTTCAAAGAGTTAACAATGGATTTGAACACTACAACAGTCAAAGGCCATTTAGTAATGAATGTTTTTATTTATCAACAAAGATAAGTTAACAATATGTTAGTGTATTATGAGCTTGACAACCGACTTCTGATACTTCTAGAACTGTTTGGACGTGAAGGGGATCCCTTATCTGGGACGGCAGATATATTGGCAGTACTGTTGTACAAAATTCTACTATTTCCATGGTCTACAAAAAACAATCAGAATTTTTTGTTATATTTTTATTTTTTGCAAAAAGGGTTTTTAGAAACTTGTGAATAAAATATGACTGTTCACTTCATTTTGGAAATAGTACGCATATGGCTACTTACATTTGATTTTTTGTTGTTTGTCATTATATGCAATTGCTTCTCTGTGCGTGACTATGGCACTTCTTGGTCTGCCGATTTTTACCTATAAAACAGAATTTATTATATACATTCTAAATTACCTCACCAATTTATTTTCACAGAGACATGCATGATTGTAGGATTGAAATGCTTTACTTGATTTTGTATGCTTGTATCGTTATTAACTGTGGAAGGCCTCCATCTTTTCTGGGATCTTGCGGTAAACAAATTCGATTTGTCCTAAAATTGAAAAATTACTTAAAATATCTTTTAATATAAATTATAAATTATTATTAAAATTATCATTAAAAATGTACAGTATTTATCATTCAAAGAACTTGTTTTGAAATTATATAAATATTACTTCTCTTTCTACATCTTCCTGTAATATACGACTTGGTCCGTTTAAACTATCAGGAAAAAACTTTTTCTTTGGACTATCTTTTAATGGTTCTGCTTTAGTATCCTGTACGTTTTCTTTTATACTTGTCACGTACGGCTTCCTGTTAATGCGGACTCTTTTTTGAACGTTTAACTTCCGCTCCTTTTCAATGGCCGCTAAATTTTTACGTAGAATATTTATCCTCAGTTTATTGGCAGCTATCAGAAACTTAGCCTGGTTGTTTTCTGCGTGAACTACTGTGTTCCATCTAAATGTCAATGATTAAATTAATAAGAACAAAAATCGAAGAAAACTCGTCTTTTGAAAGGTGATATCAATATGTTAATCTGTCAATGACTCTTAGGTTTACATTAAATTGTATTATACAGTTCGATGCATGTATTTGTTTTCTTTTTCTGTACTTATAAAATAACTGAATATAAAATAACTGAATTATATGTTATATTTTAGGGAAAATACAATATTAACTTGATAATAATAATATTAGCATTATTTTGCTTAAAATTTTGTATGTACTTCATGGATAAAGTTGCGTAAATTGCTAATTTATCTCCATCCAGTAAATTCTAACTTTAGAACGCTTATATATTCCTTTTATATAGAACATTTACTCTTCTTCATTTTTGGTAGATCTTCGCCGCCTCTGATGCGAAACTTCTTTTTCTGCCATCGCCATTGCTTTACGTACAATATCATCTGATCCCATTATGGCAAGAATTCCATTTTTCTACATTAAAAAAAAATATCTTTTGAACTTGCCTTTCAGTTTTTCTCATTTGGATTTCTTAGAAATTAAATATATCTGACATATAAATGTTTTTCCTTTGATAACGATTCTGATTTGGCATACCATAAAAGAGTCTTTTTCCGGCTGTTCGACCTCTTGAGTTTCCCATGCCTTCTTTAAATGGCGTCCTATTTCGCTGTTATCGTCCAAGATGTTCATGATATTGTCGGCATCTAAATTCTAGAATAAAAATTATTGCATACATCTTTGAATCATAAATGGAGACCCCTTTACTATATATATTTCGAAAAATATATATTATGGATGACAAAAAATGTTTTAAAATGTAAATGAATGAAAAGAGTTTAACGTTGTTAATATAAAATTTACTACTATAGTATATATGTTGAAGATCACTTTCTATCTTTGAACATGTTAGTAATAATACATGTAGCAGTCATGCAATAAACATTTTGCTTTTGGCGTGTCATTTATATATATGACAAGCTATAGACTATTTTATTGTTAGTAAGTCTAATTGATTATGATAACAAGGATTTCAAGTTTATAGAGGCCTCTGTGAGATATCCTGAAATATAATGGAAAAATTCAAGGATGTTACAACAATCCACTAACATTCAGAAAGATGAATTTTAAACAACATGGTATTTGGGAAGAACGTAAAAATATCAGGATTAACTAAGAATATTTTCAATTTAAATTTTCAGTATTTATAACCTGCCTTGGCTAATGGACTAATGTTTATTATTTATGAAAGACTTCAAACTTTCTTAACATTAAATGGTTTTTTCCGTTGGCGGATAAATTTATTTCGTTATTTCTACTAGATATGACATCTACAGCTCTTTGATATTTTTTTCCGATTATAGAAAGAGAGAACAGATCTTTATTTTATGGATTTTTTGGGAAAACAGAGAAACACAACACACAGCAATCAGAGAGGGCAAAGGTCATAAGGGGAGGTAACTTTACGCACTGCTTCCGTTTTCCGTCCCTTCTTTGTTGAAGAAGTTTTCTAAACATCATACAAACACATATTATCTCAGAAAAAAATTCAGAAATACATGATTTTTAATAAACAGATCTGGTTGAATAGACTGTATTGTAATAAGTTTCTTCTGATATTCGATATAGTGAAAAGAGTGTTCGAAAAGAAACTTTTTGGATTTTAAGAACTGAAGTTTGCAACAATATAAACTTAAAAAAGTAATAAATTATATGTACTAGTATATCAAATGACTAGATAGAGATATATGCATTGCCAGTTTTTTTTCTAAATGCTAACATGGAATGCCCCCAGTTCTTTCACATGCATATATAATTGCGAAACTAGTTTATTTAATTATCTATATAATATTAAATATTGTCAACATGCAGAGTTTATTCATACAATTCTCAGTAAGAGATTAGCTAAATATCTTGTTGAAGAAGTCCCTTCATGCACAATATCATGAGAATTCTATACACCGAATATATGAAATACATACATATATGTACAATGACTACCACAACATATTTGCAAATAAAAACATATATACATAAACAGTTTTCAAAGCAATTCTAAGTGCATATGATGTATCCATTTTTTGTGTAATTGTTACCTTCTTTATATGTTTAAGAAAAATAATTTTTTCCTCCTGTTTGCAATAAAGCCAACAAATTATGACAATTAAAGATATTCCAACTTCGAATATCAAGGAATTGAATATAAGGATTAATAACTTTAAATACACTTGTTTATGTTTTTGAGTGCAGAATTAATTGTATATTAACAGTTTTTCGTAATGGTTCTTAAGATGCCATGAACAATTTTATAATTGTGAAATTAAAAAGTAGAATTTTACCTTTGTGCAAAGTTGATCCAAGGTTTTTGCTAACTCTGACGTCATGAGTTGTCTATTTTTAGTTTCTTCATCGGAAGACTCTGAATCTGTGCACAAAGGGAAGGAACCAAATTTAGAATTGCTTTAGTTATGTGATAAATACTTATATAATCATTTTACCTGAAAACACTGCATCGAATAAAAAAAAGTAACGAAACTTGGCACATTTCTAAGATCAAATCGGGCATCAATTATAATCATAATAATTAATAATATTATAAATGATAACAATTTAAATTAATCCGTACACTGTTATCTCCATAAGTATCTATTTCGTACGTAAAGGGCATCGAAACATTTCACTAAGATTGGAATTATATTATCAACTAAACTCAGTTACCTGAATCGCTTTCACTGTCATCCCCCACCGCCCCTGACGACTTCCCGTTGATGAGAACGTGCGGGGCGGTGTGGGGTCGAGACATCGAATGACAAGACAAAGTTCGAACTTTGGGTGGATCAAAGCTGCTTCCTTTGAGGACAAACCCATACATATTCTCCGTCATTTGCTCCCTAAAGAGTCCAAATATTACATCATTTATCTTAAAGCCAAATATATTTATTAAAACTTCAAATCCAGACATCTTAACTTGGTATTGAATTTTAACGTCTCTTTTGACAGTTTTATGCTTTTATGGTTTTCATTATGTAACTTCTTAAAATCTCTTCTTCAAGTTCCCTTATAATTTCAAGCTAAAACTTTTGAACTTGAAGAATAATTATGCAATAAGTAAAGAATCTCTCACTCTTCGCTCGGAGGCCTGTCTGCTACTGGGTGCTCTCTCATTTTACACATGTACTTTAGCTTCCCTTTCTCTTTCAGGGACTCTTTTACTTTGTTGTGTTTGTAGTTGTTCCAGATGTGGTTCTTATAACCCCGATCTCGGAGTTCGTCCTCGTCCACAAAATCATGGCGGTTCTCTTGGAGAATTCGCTCCAATTTCTCAAAATTGACCACTTTTAGCGCAGTTCTGGACAAAAGAAAAAAAATGTTATTTTCATTTCCCCTATCCTTGATAAAAACATTCCGTCAGACTATCTGTTATAAAAAAAAATATCACATTCAGGTCATATTTTTTTACTGTGTACACCTTATTAGATCGAATTCAGAGTTTAGCTTGCTTAACTCTGTTTATGTGTGCATAAAATATCCAACCTACCTGTGAAACCTGTAACAGATAGTGTGACTAGTGGTTGTGATTCTACAGTAACTACCATCATGGTCCAGTACACCTTCCTCTCCAAAATAGTCATCTGTCAGTATATAATTCAATTAATTCTCAGAGAAAGGGGTACACTTACTAGTAGGAGATATCTTCATGATGAAACAATAAATTCTTAATTTAAAACCAACTCATTATAATTATACACATGTACAATGAAATATCCGGAAGAGAAATCAATATAATTTGTTTTTAAAAATTTTTCAATGCGTATTTTAAGAAGAGAAATCTTAAAACAATCAATATCAGCCTATGAAGAAGGGAGAGGAAAACAAAAACTACGATAAACACCTTTCTCCCTGCAGCAGATATAGAACACAATGTTCCGATCCGCCTCTGGGATGTACACCTCTCTATAGCACTGCACACGACCTTGAAATAAAAACAGTCAGTCTTAGTATGATGAATTTAATTTTTCTGGTGCATTCTTGTTATTCCGTCGCATTGAAGTTGGAGGGAGTGAAGGAACGGAATTTAAACCTAAATTACAATTCAAACAATACATATCAGGAGCAGAGAAAACAGGAACCTCTAAAACATCAGAGGTGGGATCAGATGCCATGAAGGAGTGAGCATCCCCTGCTGACAATTTAATTGCATTTCCATCCCTTTTTATTCAACAAAGGTTGCACCAAAAAGCAAAGCCATAAAATCTTTTAATCTTTAAGGTGTTTTGCTGGCGTGAAGCTTTGAGTGCGCCGTTATATCTAAGTTATTCTACTTACCAGATACCATGACGTAAAGATATTCCGTCTCCTCGCCTTGTTCTATCAGTGTTTTATTTGGGGGGTACTCCTGTCACATAAGATGAAAGAGTCAAAACTGAATCCTTCGTGTAGAAGGTAGATATGGAGAGAGAGAGAGAGAGAGAGAGAGAGAGATACTGTATTTTTTTTTTTTGGCAAAAATAATGCAATGGTGCGTTTGATAATCAAATACATGTACATTCGTTTGCAATGTACATGTATTAGTAGAACTGAATTTGTTCCAAAACTCGAAAATAAAAACTTTAAAAAATATATCAAAAAGTAAATTTTAAAATGTAAAACGGTTTATATAGTTATTATCTTACGTGCTTTTGGATCATTGGAAGGATTCTGGCTTGTACGTCTTCGGAGAGTATTGAAAGAATGCTAGACCCTGATTTATAATATTGCTTTATTTCGTTCATCAATAAAGATTCCTCAATTTCAATCAGTCTATGAAATCTGTCTCTGTCTATACGAATAAATTCACACAATTCCTTCGTATACACAGTAGCAGGAGGTGCGATGTCTTCGTCACGCCCCTCAGCACTAACAATCCCGAGGTATTCCGCAGTCCCATGACTATAGATGATATTTGGTTGATAAACGTTCCGAGAAGAGGAGTTTCCAGCAGCAGACATATCATACGTCACTTCCACAGCACCGTGGACTATGTAGTAACAAGACAACGTGTCCTCCCAAGATTTTTTCTTAACATATTGAAATGCATTATATGTTTCCAAAGTCACACACCGAGACAAGACATTTTTAATATAATCCTGTCCTTTGTGAATCAACTTCAATCCATCAACAACTGAACGCATCGTCAACATTTCTGACTTAGATAAAGTTGGATCTTCATCCGGGGAGCAGCTAGCATTTCGGGTCATGATGCGCCTCGCTTCCTTTGTGATAATGACTGCTCCCTGAGTGACGAACAGCCTTTTGTTGAACACCGGCGGGAGATCTTTTTCATCTTTTCCTTCCACGCCGTCATATTGTCTGTTTCTTTCCGTTGTCTCGTAGAATTTTTTGGTGTCTGTGGCATCCTTAACCACTGTTAGCATCCTCCTTAAAGAAAGAGACATTTTATATAAAATTCAAAAGACGAAATTAAGTTAAGACCCCAGGGAGCTGTCTAAAAAAAGTCTAAGGAAAAAGCAACTCGCAAGTAATGAACTTTGGCCACTCCGGTTTAATCAAGAAGTCTTGCTTAATCATACTACTCGATTAAACATAAAACAAGTACAGTGCCTTTCCGATAATGAAGTCTTTGTTGACAATAAATTGGTTTCCATAACTATGTCAACAAGCCAAGCAAATATCGCATTACAATGCTCTAAAATCAGTATTTCTTGATACAATGTCATTAATGCACGAATAAATATTAAGCTTTTAGCTTTGAAGTTCGCATGTTTGATTAATAAGCAAAATTCCCTACAGGTACAAATCTTTTTTATTGGAATTCGTTTCCTTAATTTGAAATGAACATAATCTTTCAAATCTTTATGAAATAAATTTTCCTATCAAAATTGCATATAAAATTAAAATATTTACACAAAAAATACCCCATTATATACTTACATGTTCTAAAAGCAAATGCAAAATAAATTTTAAGGTACATAAAACGTTTGAATGTAAAGGATATAAATAGAAAGTGCACAAAAACAGACATTCGATGATCTGTCTCATAATAAAAGCATGTGTAAAGAGAAAATGATTTACTCTGGCCATAAATAACGAAAGTTTTCATTTAAATATCGCTCTGAGTATTGAAATGCATGTTTTATTGTCGGATCGGAATGAAAGTTTGCGTACCTTAACTAGTAACAAAAGAGTTTATATTATCTGATACCATTTCAGGATTACTTTCTTAACACTGTGTTCCCCTGGCATCATTTATCATTGATAAGTACGCATTGTTCACACAATATTGAATTTTTCCTCCAGATTTAACTATGATGAGAAATTGAAATTACTAGAACTTCATTTAACTTTTACAAAGAGCGAAACTATATATCATCGATATCGTAAATAAATACACGTACAATACCTACATTGTATACACGTGTTTTCAATTTCAATTTACCTTTTGTTTACTCCTTAATACTTTCTTTTTCCGTTGCTTTTTATAAGGTTGTGAATACCGAAAATGGAATTAAAAATCGTTGCCACATTTTAAAAAAATATTTTAAGATCTAAATTAATGGTTGGAGAATGCAATGAATTTCGAAATTATCAAAACTGAAAATGAAGAAAAATTGCAATTCATGCACTGGGGTTTATTTCCTCCAATTCTCTGACAAAAGTAAATAAATCTTTCAAAGGTAAAAATTGTGAGCAAAGGCAAACTTAAGACTCCCTACAAAAAAAGTGATTTTCTCCAAACTAAAATAGATTGAAGAGGATTAAGAAAGCAATGCATTTCAAGTCAAAATAAAGTTGTCAATTGATCGGCCATATCACTCAATTGAGAATGTTTGCACGTGCCTGGGTCTGAAGTACTTTGATCTGAGATGTATTTGAGATGCATTTGAGATCTATAAGACGTATCGACCCGATTGTTTGGACTCTTATAATGTCCATGATATCTGATATCTACGAAGTCATTATGGTCATTGCCAACACTTATGTATAAGATTTCAGCTTTACTTTATGCTTTCGCCCCCTCGTATTGCACCTCAAAAAATCTATACGACAATCAAATCTAATAGAAGTGTAAATATGGCACTTCAAAAGACATTTAATTAAATCTCAGCAGATAAAAATTACACTTACAAAATTTAAAGACCCCAGAATTTCATACATTGTCGAGAATGTATTCTGGAGGTAATACCATGTTATTTGTATGTCTAGATTGCAATTAAGTTTCATAATTAAATCTCAAGACGATAGAGTGAAAATGATCTTATCTCCAATTTTCGAATGGTGTGATTTAAAAATTTGGAACTTTGATATATTGGGAGTAGACAGTTAAAGCAGATCACACGGGATGCAGGAATTGACACACCGTCAAATGGTTTTATCCTGAAGAGGGCTTTTCAGTTGATAAAGGATTGGATTCCTATAAAGGCTACAAAACTTTGTACAGATAGAAAGTTCTTAAGTTTTTAACTGTTAATTGAAAATTTTTGTCTAAGGTGATTATCATTGATTTTGAAAGGGGATGAGCAAATTTTGTAAATAATTCAGAAATGTTGAAAAATAAAATAAAAATCAATCCTCATCTGTCAAGAAAATAAATAAACTTTCCTTGTCTAGAGCCACATGTTTCCTAACTCAACCCCCCCCCCCCGAAATAAAGTTTTGGAATTTGTCAGTCCCTCTTCTTTATTTACGTTTGCTTGTATTTTTTCTTCAGTAGGAAGAAAAAGAAATTTATACATCGTAATTTGTCTGTCCTGCATTGGCATGTAAATAAATATTCTAACTCAACTAAAATCGTCGGGACCAAATGGTCGTCTTCTAAGATCAGAGATTCCTTATTCGAAATCGTTGCAAAATGAATGAAACATTTGGAAACAGGATTGATAAGGGCCTATTTTTTTCATTAATCATTAAAATAATAAGCAGTATAATTGTTACAGGTGAATTTATGATAGGCCTAATTTCAAAATAACATTATTGCAATTTTGGACAACAGAAAAGCTTCAATCCATGTTACTAAAAACTCAAAGGATTGAGCCCGCTTGTACATGCATTGTTTTGCTTTTCGTTTTCCGAAACTGATAAATGGTATTGTGTGCAAGAGACAATTTGTAAAAATACATACACATGTAGAAGGAATAGTGCTACAAATTTAGATGAACAACTTTGGTCATAAGTTAAACATAGGTTCTTTGTCTAATAAACTTGAAGAGTAATTGTACTCGGTATTTTTTTTTTAAACCATGGCATTTTTATTAATCCCATGAACGGAGATATTCCCTCTACAGGGTGTTTTAGGGAATATAGGAACTGTCAACTGAAGTGATTTCGTGATGTTATGACCCGTACGACGATTCCATTGTAGACAATATTATGAAGGCGGAACACCTACAAGTCTATATAACACAAAAGACGGACAATAAAGGTCGCTCTACTCAGACAACCAATAGTCTCGTGAAGGATGCTTCAAGACTTCAATCCAACAAATACTCGGGATTCTTAAGTACACTGGAGAGGGACCCCGGAGACAGTATATTTGTTTAAAACAGACGAATATTTTGTCGGTATTTTATTTTATAGATTGTATATTGAAAATTGTACTTTATCGATACGCTTTGCTTGTGGAGAATCTTTAGGTAAATATGTATAACGTGTCCGAGATTCTAATAAAGTTGAAGTAAGTGTTTGCGGAAGTTTGGAGATTTTTCCGAACTATAATGCTTTGTCAATACAAGAAATGGATTTGTTTAAATAAAAACATGATTAATAGATTTTCTCTTTTCTTTTCAAGGAGGAGAAACAATAGTCGGAACGTCATATCTTTAAACTTTTCATCAAGGACGAGTTGACTTTAAAATGTGGTGGGCAATAGTTCAATCGAGAGAGAGAGAGAGAGAGAGAGAGAGAGCTTTTGTAGCTCATAGGAAAAGACAACATAACAATTTTCATGACGTTTATCTTCAGACGTGTTAACTGCAACATGACAAAAATGACAGTCTACATACATGATATTTTAGTAAGCACGATCTGAAATTTCTAATTCATTCCAAGTCATGTCTCTAGAGTCAAATTTCATCCTTATGTCTAATGAATTCTTACAGCAACACGTTTTACTCAGAAAAACAAAACAACATAATTATGAAGACATATCTAAAATGGTTCCTTCAATTTTCAAACCTCTATTAGACAAATATCCAAAAACCTTATTTAATTTCAGGAAAATTTAGCGTCCTGTGTCTTCGCCTTTTTTCAGCAAGAAATTTGATTTTTTGAAACGAACTGTTACAAATAGATTAGAAAAGCGTAGACCTACCCCGACTCGTCTTCGTTTTCCTGATCCATTACTCGGAATCCGATAATATGTTACAATTAGTAACTGTTGCCAGGGTAACGATCCCAATATATCTTATACTGCGTCTTTATATTTCTCTATTAATGTCCTCAGCTACTTAGAGCTAAATCCACGTCTTTGTCATTAAGGGAAAAAAGTAAATGGAGAAATGCTTGTGGAAGTGTATTACATTTCCCTTTTTTATGAATATGGCCTGACTTCCAAATCGATGTTAGAACATGCATTAGAGTCCAAACCCAACGAAAAATGAGAAGTAATTAAAAATCGTGCAGCAACCGAGATATATGTCACAATTTTGATGATTTACAAATCCATTGGAGATCGGATGTAATCAGAGCCCGCTAATGCCTTCACGGATTTCAATACACTTCCTTTTGTAAGAATACTCCTGATAGATGATTCGATTGATAAACCCTCGATGCCGTCAATGTTATTTAAAACATTTAGTCCATAAAAGAATTGTATAAGTAAGAATATTGGAAAACGATTCTCTTGATCGACTCATTAGTTCCGTCACTGGATGCGCCCTGCGTTTTTAAAATTAAAAACTGTTTTCCCTCCATAAAAGCAGGTACTCTTTAGGTATACATAGATATTATCTCAGCATAAATGGTTTTCTAAATGTCATCAATAAACTATCTGTTAACTTAAAAATCATCGATAAGAAAGAATTAATCCTGTTAAGTACCTTTACCCCTGCTCAAACACCCCTATACAGTGAAGTTAAGTTCGTTTAAAAGAAAATAATAAATAGAGGAAACGATGTCGCTTTTAAGCTTTGAATGCGCATTTTAACGAAGGATTGTATTGTAGCAATGGGAGTCATAACATCAATATTGTCCTTAATGAAAAGAAAGGCTTATCTCTCGTCTAACTACATTAAATATTCACCCACAACCTCACTTAAAGCCATTTTATTATTTAAATACTAGGCTAAATTACTGTAATTCACACGGGATCGATGTCTTCTGTGCAGTGGTCAGCGAAGATCGCTTCCACGAGCGCTTGATAGTTGAATGCATGTCACAATACGGTCAGAAAACGCATCTGAGTATTTTTTGTTTAAATACTTAAATTCATATTCAAACAGTGTTTAGAACATCAATATTGACATGTGCATACTACACGAGCCACTGCCACGAGCAGTTAAAACAGAAAAATAATACTTGTTGCATTTAAGAGTAACATGTTGACCGAGGGGGCAAATAAGAAACTGAAAGACAAAATGGCATGTTAAAAATCAGATAACATGTCCCGAATATCCCTATTTTTGTCTTGGATTTAGCATGTGAAACCTACAGTCTTGGATTAAAGTTATAGCATGTGAAACCTACAAGTGTTAAGGAGTTCATGGGTAGCAACGACGGAGAGCTACAGTTCTGCAGCTACAATGACGTACGTTTGTCATTTCTTGCAGACCCGGTTTTTTTTTCTCAAAACAAAATTTATTTGGAATTGAACAAAACCACGACTCTGCATGACCCGAAAAGAACGCAAAATAGAACTGTTAACATTCATTCTATTTACAGTGCAACAAAACAGTCACAGCAATCGTGTTTTGAAAAATCATTTGCTAGAAAATCCCCCCTTTTGAATGTTCACTTCATCGAGTGTAAAGGAGGAAATTAAAACTCATTTTTCCTCATTCATACACAAAATTGAATACACTAAAGACCAAGTATTGCCTTTCTACATCAATACCTCTTGTAGAACAAGATTGTACAATTAATTAAGCTGAAAGGTCTACAATCCTGGATTGTTGAAGTCAATAGAGAAAAGCTTGGTTCTACCCTTAATTCATCTGCTGATTCAACGCATTTTTTCCTGAAGAGTCTTACTTCAGGTACCCATTTTTATAGTGTTTCATTAAATTGAAGTACAGATGCTATCGTCGATTAACTGCAGTCCAAACTACAAATACAAAGATTGGATTTATTGAATGGTTTAAATGGCTGAACCAAATTTTTTTTAGCTATAAATGGATAAATCAAACTAAAAATTGCCAATACTGTTAACTTTTACTTTGCTAGAATTTTATTTGCGTGTAATTAAACGAAAGTAAATGCTCGCGAAAATTTATTTTTCGATTAGCTCTTTTGCGCAATTTAGGTCTTGCTTATAAACACGAAATGCCCATTTTGCAAAAAAGGTCCTGTGAAAATTTGATCATCTACAGTACCTTAAACCCGAGGAAAGAACAAAAAATGGTCCCATGTAACAGTCACAATAAAAAAATTAAATTAGATAACAGATTAAAGATGTCCATGGGCCGAAAAGTGTAAAACTTTAAACCTGAGGAAGATTCATTACTATTCTTACGTGCATTCAATTTTTTAATATCCTACTTTCCAGCGGCATTCAGTTGGGACGTAAGATCCTTGCGTAGCAATACGGCGCCTGTGCGCACACTTTCTCTTTGGTGACTCTTGTAATCAATATATCATTCCCTGTTATACAGGCAAACTTCTTTACTTTCGTCCATAATTCTAAAAAGTTTTACCTACTTACATTCTATTGGACCATGTTTTTCTTTACATCATTTTGATTATGTTGAGGCATTTAGTGACGTCAGAAAAGAACGTTAAAATTCTATTGTGACGTACGTTTTCAAATGTGCATTTCCAATTTTTATAAAAAATACATTAACATCAGGCGCGGATCCAGAAATTTAATTCCTTGACATGTAAAAAAAAATATTGACGCTTCTTTTCAAATATATCAAAATAAGATATTTCTTCGAAAAAAATAAAATAATGCAACTTAGCCATTCCTGGAGGTGGAAAAAACCTAGCTGCAGATCTGTAGCGTTATGGTTTCATATATTTGTCTTTGACCATAACGCTACAGATCCTGTAATGCAAAAAAGGTGCAATTTACGGCGCAATATTTTTTTTTCTCCACTTTCAAGCATTGGTCAATCAACTACCTTTCACTCCCTAATTCTAGACACATTCTGTAGCCAATATGTATGTTTTATACACCTCCCAACCCTTTATACTCGTCTCTACAAGTGATAAAATCGCTTGAATAAAATTACTTGTTAGATTGCTGAAAATTCACTTCTAGGGACTTTATTGCCTGTAGAGACAACTACAAATGGTTGAAAGGTGGATAAAATATACATATTGGCTACAGAATGTGTCTAGAATTAGGGAGTGAAAGGTAGTTGATTGACCAGTGCTTGAAAGTGGTTTCAATGAACATTACAGAATGTCTGGGAAAAGAAGGGGGTTGATATTCTGTAATTTGTCCGACCCCCCCCCCTTCTTACCAGTCATTAAAAGCGCGCAAAAAATATTGCGCCGTAAATTGCATGATAAAGAGATAACCTTTTTTGCGTAATTATATATTACAGGATATAATCTGTAGCGTTATGGTCAAAGACAAATATATAAAACCATAACGCTACAGATCTGCAGCTAGAAAAAACCAAACTTAAAGGTGGAGGTGGTGTGGTAGTTCACATTTTCTTGAAAGGATCGAGCATTCACTAATTTGTTTCAGTACATGTATACTTTAAATAACTAAAAAGTTTAAGGAGGGGGGTCCGAAACAAACCCTCCCCCTTTCCTGTCAATATACGCACATGATCACCATTGTGAAAAGAGAAAAAAAAACTTATCAAGGAATTTGAAAAAGATAAAAGTATCAGACAATATAAATATGTAGAAATGCTATCCATACAGCAACATGTTTAAAGGTATTCAACTATACGTATAGGCTTCGGAGAAAAAAACATATTGCATCGTACCATATTTTATGCAACTGAAACGATATTGGGAAAAAAACTATAAAAGGTATGAAAACTTACGAAATGTTGGCAGCTTTCAGAGTTTTGGATCCCACATATATTCGATGAAATGCTTTCGACACGAGGGAGAGCTGTCGGAAGCTCGAGGGTACAGTCCGAGTTAAATTAAATCGAGTTCCTCCCTCATCTTCGTCATTTGATACACCAGTGGTGTCTGTATCCCATCCCATCGTTATTTTTTGGTCCTAATAGTAATTGTAGAATTTTACGGAATGTACTGATTTTCACTGCTTCAAGGACTGTTGTTTAGAAAACCAATTTTAGTCAGTTTAATGACGCAACAACCTGTTTTCCGTAACAATAAACGTGTCAGTTTAAATGGACACTAACAAGATTATCGCGTTTTGTACGAGTTTGGATAAACTAAATCTGATCTTGTCCAAAGTGTCTAGTACTTTCAAATTAAATACCAAGTAAATACCATTGCAGATTATTTCTCCCGTCCCTGCCTATAGCTTAAACTTCACGATGTGTTAGGCTAATTGACTGTATTGTTCAAAACCTTTAAATCGAAGAATTATCTACCAGTTGTATTCACTTTGACTTCTTACACAACATACCTATACAAAACATGTTCAAACCGCAGGAATTACATAAGGTAACAGGTACCGATAACTCAAATTGCCAGCTGCTTGCCTGTTTCGAATGTTGCAACTTCTCGGGCCTTTCCGACTAACGGAGAAAAACAATGTTTTCGAATCCGACCTCTTGCCTTTTTCGACTGACCCTAACCTTGACCCTTCTTGTCTACTAGTATTTGACTAATGGTTTAACCTGCCTGTTTCGAATGACGGTTTTACTTGCCTGTTTTCGACTAAAGTCTTACTTGCATATTTCCACTGACAGTACTGTTTTACTTGCCTGTTTCGGCTCAAGGTCTTGATCCACTCTCGCATTTCAGCCTGTACATTGTTCAAGTTTTGTAGACGGCTTGTAGCCGAACCCCTGCGCCTAAACCGTTTGCCTAAAACATCCTTTGAATTTTTAGACATATTGCTTTTAGTTAGAGATAAACATCCAACAAATGACTCTTTTCAAGGTTTATCCTAAATATATGGACGTATTTCTCTAACCAGATGGTCATTAAAGATAAAATGAGTTGTTGAGCATACGGAATTTATTGTTCCTCAGTGACATCAAATCGAATTCTTATTGGCAACATTGCTGGTAGTGTGAATATAGACTTAGTATCGACACCTTAATTTATAACCCTTATGCGATAAAAGAGACTTCGGGTCACCTTTTGCAATTAAAGGATTCGAACATGTTTGCCTTTTTCAAAGCTAGTTAAAACCCTCGGAACAGTCTTAAGGCAGATAAGTGATTAGCCATAATCGGCGTGTTCGATTGTTTTTACACATTTCTGCAATTACTTGGAGGGATTTGTCAATACGGATCAGGCAGTGCACTAGGAAGGGTTTTAAATACTGTTGAAGTCAAGCACGCCCTTCGTTTACCAACCTGTACAACACATTTGGTCTCTCATACGACCCCACACGGATTGTCCTTATACGTTCCGAGCAATACTAATTTTCGACAGATACGAACAGGTAACTCTTCACCGCTGTGGGATATCTCCGTGTTTTTATGTACTTATAAAACATTTTATGTGTCCTTTGGGGGTATTTGTGGATTATATATAACAAATTCTTTAAATGGTGAGAAAATGTCAAGATAGAAAACGACATATAATGTTTAGCGGTGCACCAACAATTTTTCCGCAAATTTCAAGTTTACTTTTTGCACGTTTTATGAAAAGGTGCTCGATCTACATGTTCACTTGTGCCAGGAAGTAACCAAATATAAAATACCGGGAAAGATTATTTTGATGAATCTCGAAAAAGAAAACCAAAAAGACGTTGAAGAGACATTAGCTCTAGTGCATGTGTATTTTTTAAATAAAGCTTGCAGTAATATAAAACTTTGGGCACCGGAAAAATCAATTTAAAATTCAACAAAATTCCAATTTTTACAAAAAAAGTTTATTTGGAATGATTCCAGCACCAAGTAATAAAGGTTTCATAGAACTACATGTAATTATTAAATCAATGTACAAACCACTACAGATTTAATACCCGCTCTACCATGCTAACGTACTACAAATGTACAATTAAATGAATTGAGATTTTTCTACTGGATTTCATATGTGCATTAAGTAAATTTGTAATAACAAAAGCAAGTTTTTAAGCTTATACCAAGGACATACTAGTATATTATACTAATACAGTTGTAGTGGGATATATGTGCCTTCTTCTGCATCCCAATGCTTTACAAACAGCAATATATTATTACAATATCTTAAAATAATTATGAAATTCTCCTGTTTTTCAGATGTTTTATTGATATACCAGTACTTTATTTTTGTCATAAACAATGAAAGATCATCCCTTAATCAAAAAACAGAATTCAACAAGAGATGTTTATAAAACATTTTCATGCCTGTCAAATTGGAATTTTTTTTTAAGTCTTATCAAGGGACATTATTTATTTTCTTCTTTGTCTGATGTACCTTGATCGAATTTGACCTAGATAATAATGTTATATACCTGTAAATTAAATTTCGGATTCAGGATGTGCGGGGGGTGCAAAGAAAATGAACAGAAACTGCAAATAATTGGAATTTTTTCAAAGGCCCCAAGGGGCATAACTGGATCAAAAATGGTGGAGGCCAAAAACAGAACTTGACCTAGATATTAATGTGATTTATCTGTATACCAAATTTGATTTCAGTATGTGCAATGGTTGCGAAGAAAATGAGCGGAAACTGCAAATAATTGAAATTTTTATTGGTCAAGGGGCATAACTTTGTCAAAAATGGTGCGATTGTAGCCCAAAAACAGAACTTGATTTAGATATTAATGTGATATATCTGTATACCAAATTTGACAGAAATATTGGTATTGTTACTAAACTATGAGAATATTAATAATTGAAATTTTTGAAATCCAAGGGGAATAATCATCAAAAATGTATGCCTTGTACCCAAAACTGTAACTTTGTATTAATTTTCATGTGATATATCTTTACACCAAATTTCATTTTTGTATGTGCAACGAATTGGCTTGTAGAAAAGTAATTCATCACTTCTAGTGAGTGCACATTACCATGCATCAAAGACTATGCCCTCCCTTCTTCGAAGGCGTGCATAAAAATTTAACTTCAATATCAGCCACTCCAGCATACTTTATAATCATTGTAATTGAGCAAAATTATATTTTTAAATAAAAAGGGATTTTAAAAATATTTAAAGAAAAAGCTCAAGGACAGATTATTTATTTTCATACATGTTTAACTTTCATCTTTTTGTAATATATCTGTGATAAGTGGTACGTGTATAATTTCACAATATTTATTTAACATATATTTTTTTTTTTTTTTCATATAAAGGTGTGCATAATTGTGAAAGAAATGCTTTTTAATGTATTATTTCAATATTCTTTAAGTGCAATTTTTAACAGGTCTTTTGTAATATCTCTATGATATGTGGTACATGTATACATGTATCTTTTTAGCAGTACATTTGTATTTTCTCAAACACTGTTTCAACTGACATCATACTGACATCATACTGACATCATACTCCACTCAGTAACATCACAAAAATGTTCCAAGTTCAATGACGCATTAATGCAAGGTTTGTTTTTATGGATAAGTTATTACACAAACAAAGTTGAATATAATATCTACATGGAAATAACAACTTAAACGGATAATGATCATTTAAAAATGTGACAAGTTAAATGTTTTTTTGTTTTTTTTTAACAAAATCAAATTCTCTACTGAAATTAATTTTTTTTTTTATAAATGAATAACTCTAAATGTCAGAGTTAAAAGTATCAAGTCATATACTAAGATGCATATTAAAATGAAATTTTTGCATTAGGAATTAAATTAAAGATTTCTTTTTTACAAAACTAATATCATTAGTTACACAGTAATGGGACTATACTTTTTCCTTAAGGGTGTGAAATGGAAAATTGGGGGGGGGGATACATTTCAAGGCATCATGAATCATTATTACAATAAATGCTGTATTTTAGAGAATTCTTATTTCACAATAAAACAAAAACAAAACACAACAAAAACACATAGAACAAAAAATAACAAAACAACGAACAGAGATCAAAAGAAAGATTGCACTTATATCACAGATGAGATTGCCCTTTGGATGACACAAGATTTACAGGTAGCTCCACCTATTTGAAGGCATATTATGCAATTCCTGAAGTTAGATTTCCTCTCTTTCATTCTTCACATTGCATCAAAATGGAACTTATGTGCCTCTTGCAATTTCTCTTTTTTATCTTCAACCTAAACAAACAAAATATTTGTTCAAACATACAATCATAATTTTTATCCAGCAGCCTTATTTTAAATTCTTGAATTATTTTTTACAATAAGTATCATACAATGTTTATTACAGTTTTTTTCATCTATTGACATACCAGAATTTAATGTGAGATGAGGTAAGATACAGAAAAGTTGCTATTTCTGTAGACCCAGGTTTACCTTTTCTCTCCAGTGCAGTATCCCCACAAGTCCAGCAATAAAACCACAGGTCCCCAGTAAAGTAGCCCCGGTCAACATGACCATACGACTGGGGGTCACAAAGAGCTTGTTCTTCCAACTGATATAGTCAACAGAAACAAAATCTATTTCATTATTTCATCATTAATTTGTTCATTCTAAGCAATTCTTTCTAATAATTATGAAATTTTTTTTAACAATACACATAATTATGGCATCATACCCAGGTTTAATAAATTTGACTCTCACAATAAGTAAAATTATGAACCATATACATATATCTTATTGTCATTAATTAGCCTATGACTTGCTACTTTGATTTATTTCTGAGGGAAGAAGCTTCCTACCTGCTTGGTGTATTGTTAGGATATGGAATAATAATCAGCTGGGAGTTGGGAATTATGGAAGCCCACGATTTCTGTCTTATACTCTGGAAAAAATAATGACATCAGATTGTACATACAAAGTTCTACAAAAAATGAAACAATGAAATAAAGATAGTGGACAGAACTACAGTGTTTTATAGCCATGGGAAATGAAAATAACTTCACACTAACCATCAATTCATTACAGGCCTGCTGCTATAAACTAACCATAAAGAAGAGCATGATTCTCTCTTCAACTTACTGTTCCAGGCGGGTTTGGTATTCCAACCTCTATCTTGTCAACAAAGTTTGGAGTTTGTCCCAGTCCAAATATGGTGAATGGCAGCTGTAATGGGGTGTAGGCTGACTGAGACAGCTGGGTACCTGTCAGAAAAAAAATGAGAAAAAATTAGGATTTGATATGATAACACTTTTATAGTGAATCACACTTATGAGGAAGTGACAGGGATGATCGATTTGCTTCATTATAAGCATAATTTGTTATATCCATCAAGTTTACATGTAATAAAATCATGGGGAATGAAAATCACATCACTGTAAGCATCAAATCATTATAAGCATGTTCACGATAACCATGTTTTACTGTAAATCACTTTACATTATGGCTTATAAGAATAAAAATGTAGCATACCTATTCCAGAGATTGTCTTTCCATCTACATTCTGAGTGGTGTATTTAACAACTGGTCCATACTGATTTACTCCATATGGCTAAAAAAAAAAAATCAGATATAACTGAGTTCTCTTCTTTTTCCATCTATCTTTCTCTCATCTAATATTAATTCGATAGTTCCAAATGATTTTTCATTAAAAATTTGAATTAATTGAATTATTAAATTTATTTTTAATTCCAAGTTTAAACATGTGCATATCATATACTTTATTTTTTTAATTCAAATATGTACACTGTACCAATATACATATAATGGAAAATATAAAGTTTATGAAAGCTAGTGCATACCTCTCTATCATTTGGACAATTATCAAAACACAATCCACTCACAACTACAAAATAAAAATATTTGCTTATTTAAATAGATCCGAATTTACATTCTGTATGCAGCAAACTTCCATGTTTTTTTAATTTACCCATGATTTTAAGGAAATTAGCATCTTCTGAGAAGTCTTGCTCCAGTAAATGTGTGTGATATTTCTTGTCTGAGCTGTAACTTGTCAAAACAACATCCAAGATACCCTGAAAGAATTTTCCATTGATATCAATGTACATATAATATACACTTGTGCAAGGTTTCTTTGCAATTGTACATCCAAATTTTCTTCTTATCCAAACCAAGAAGCATGGTTTACATTTGAAATCTGACTTTCATATGCTTTCCTTGCATTTTAAAATTGAAGTGAATATTTTTATCAGAATTTATCAGATAAAAAAATTTGAGTTAATATTCACTAATAAAAGGCTTACATTTTCTTTGTAATCAAAGAATGCTGGGTACACCGCTAGATCTGTGTTAGGCTGTAGTGACAAGTCCCATCTGATGCTGAATGTCCTACCCAGACCATTACAGCCAGCACCAGAACAGGGCACATTCTGTAGGATATAAGCCTTGGTGATGTTCCTGAAAATAAACAAGTATATGCTTTAATAGAAGATAGTTGTAATGAAAAGAAATGAAAAAATCATTGAAAAGTTGACATTTTACAATGTAACTTTTTTTGGGTGTGCTTGTGGTATCAAAAGACCTATGAATCCATGCCCTTATAAAATGTAAAAAAAAAAAAAACAGACTTCAAATCGTCATTTACTTCTTCAACCACCAAATCAAATCCCTGAGGATGTTTTTCCTAAAAAATGATCCCACAAAGATCAGTGATTTTACAGTATATTGCTAAATTTAAATCTAAATCAAATCGTAACAAAGCTGAAGTTTAGTTAGAAATGTCCATACCCTCCTTTGTTATTTGGAGTCTTTAAAACGGCCAACATATCCTGAAATCCATCCAAGTTAAAATCCCCTGTCCTTAGGGTAATGGGGGCTCTATCAACACCCTTACTGGGAGGAACAAAGCCCCACTCCTGGTTCCCGGCCTTGAAAGTTACTGGCATCTTTTCCCACTGTAAGATGATAAGTTCAATTTATTGAAAGATAAAGAAGACAATGTCTTTTCCTACATTGAAATAAAGGATAATGCACAGGAGATAACTACTGGCCTATAGCCCTATTGCCAGAAAAATATAAGATCAACTCTTGGTTAATTATTCAAAACAATCTGAATTACATACATGTATGTACTGCCTTTTTTACTGTACACTTACTGTTTCAGCAAAATAATAGATCGAGCTCTTGGCACACATATCATCATCACACACAGGCAGCACTGTGTCTATGTGGGAGTCTAAAATACATTTAAACAATATGTGGTTTTTTATTAAACAGCATTAAAAAATACTACAAAATAAAAGTGCAAATTGTTTTCATCAGTATAATGTACCTGAACATAAATGGATGTATCCAAAATTTAGCCCAATCACTGGATATTGAGTGGTTGGCGTAATTGTGAATTAATGCTATAGATGTCCGAGCTGTGCATTATTTTTATAGTACATGTAATACAACTTTTACCTTGATTCCCAAGATCAGCAAAAACTGGTTGTCCTATAATTTTTTTGGCAAAAATATCCATTGATATGTTTTTAGTCCAGTCTAAATGGCCATTCTGTAATAAAGGAAAGGTGAAATTTTACTCCGACTCACATGCAGCTTCTGATCTTTGTTTCAAAATTAACAGTGTGTTTTAGAAAATATAACATTTCGTTGAATGTGTCAGTTGTATCTAAAAAGTTTTACAAAGTCTATAAAAAAAACCCTCACTTACAGCTAAACACAGAGACAAACCTTATTCATCCACACTTCCAGCTGCCTTTTACCACCCATCTCTGACATCACACAAAGATCTAAAAATTGTTGATGTTTTCAACTTAGGTACCATCTTATGCAAACAATTAAAAAAAGACTTTTAAAATTACATAATTCAATATCACACTAGCATCACATCTTTTTCTGTGTCCATACCTGCCACTAAATTATTATCAAGGTCAACAAATGCCCCCGCTGTTGGGTGGGATAATGGAGGGGGGTTTCCAGGAACAGCCTCTTCTGTGTAATTCTTCATATTCTGACTATAGAAACACAAATGTACATTTATTCCAATGTTGGAGTAATATACTACCAGCCCTTGAAAATTCATGTGTAATTAAATAGGAGAAAATGCAATGAAGGAGATCAGAATTTGAACCCAGGACCCCAAATCTTCAATCAGGTGCTTTACCAAATGAGTTATCTGGCCACCAGTGATTGATCTCATATGAATCATGAATTTTTAGTGTAATGGAGAATGTGAAGCTCATTGTTGGAGCACCAGCATGGTTAGTGCAAGGTTCTGGGTTCAAGTCCCCGTCTAGCTGACATATTTCCCAGTCTGTTGTTCAAGTAACAGGATTTACCTACTTTCACACTCAATACCTTATAATATGAATAGAAAATATGAATTTGTGTGCTAGTTTAATGGTATAAATACTTACTGAAAGATCCAGTAAAATCGTGAACCCTGGGATTTCTCTCCAACTAGATCAGGGATCATGTCTCCATTGACACTGTGATAAAGAAGAAGCTCATAGATCAATTTCAACAAATTCAAGTACAGCTGTAGCAACAGAATTCATAATAATAATAAAACTAAAATGTAATATTTTTTCTCTATTACCAGTAAACCCAAAGAATGACTGTGATTTATAAATCACAGCTTTCATATTCTCATTATATTAAAATCTTTAAACCTAGTCATTCTATTAAATGCTGATTTTTTTTTTTTTTAGCTTGTATACTGAAATTTGAACTTACTCTAGAACAAAAGGTTGGTCCTTGAGTTCACCATTGATGCAAAGTTTATCATTTTCATCTAAAAGAAAAAAAAATATGTAGCAAATTCAAGGATCAAAGAATAAAACCATGGAATCATCTCTGTCTGTGATGGACCAATGTTTGCAGTTTTCCTGATATTCAGTAAATATTAAACCTATAAATATCCTGTGAGCAGTGGAAACTGAGTAACATTATCTTACATTACACAAATGAAGAACTATGGTTTAATCTTGAAAGTTAATCCTTTTCAATTAATAAACAAACCATTAGCATGACATTCCTCCATACCTATACTTCCTTTACTAAGGGACCCCCAATACACACACCCATTCACTGAAAGAGATGAAGCATGGACACTCTGTGTTGTTATAAACAAGTCCATTTGTGTATCTCCATTGAAATCTGCTGGCACCACATTTGTTATCACAGCATCTGTTGTAGTTTTGAGTAACACTTTCTCCTCAAATTTAAATTCAGATGAAGTTCTATCAGAGGTAGCAGAAAACAGTTTGAGGGTTTTACCTGAAATAAATAGTATAACTATATTAAGTTAGGAGCTCCAAATTTCTTTTGGATAAACATGTCAGATGAATTATAGCTCTCATTACAATGCCTGGGTGAAATGAAGATTGACAGATGGACATACAGACAGATGGACATCCCGATCATTATATACCCACCCACTTTTCAAGCGTAGGTAAAATAAAATTGCTTAATTTAATCAATATATTAAAAATAAAAAGTAGATTGAACATTCTTTATGAAAATCAGTGCTGTTCAGGCTTCAGTTTTAGTAGTGCAACTCATGCACATACTAAGTCATGACAAATGTCATATGCAACATGAAGAGAAGGGTCTTAATAGTGTACATGTATAAACATACACTAATAATTAAGGTATCTGTGCTCGCCCTAATGGTCGCACCTCAACATATTACTCCGTCTTGATTATAAAAGTAAGAAGGATATCCTCCTGTTGGTTACGAGCTGACAGTCAGTTAATCTCAGTGAGATTCATGGAGACTAAAAATTTTGGTCTGATGTCTCTCCCCATCTCAGACCTTTACTTCATTCTACTATTATTTCCTATAGAAATCACAGGGACTTGAGACAGTCTTAGCAAAATTGGGTACTTTATACCAGATTTTGCTAAGACTCCCTCAAGTCTCTGTGATAGAAATTAAGTATAATACCAAGTATTTGAAGCAGACTATTACTGGAACTTTTCAGCATCAGAGTTTTTAACAAATAGGACGTTGCTATGAAAAATCAACAATTTTATAGCAACCACAGTGAGGCAGGGTACAGCACAGCTCGCAATGAGAGCTCTAACGACAAGGCCTGGGCGAAGAGAAAGTTCAGACTTGCACATTGATCAAAATAAAAAAATTTCCGCAGTAACCTGTGGTTCCACAATGCATCGCTTCTTTTAGCTACGTTCTCACAAGGAAAACAACAAAAGTTCAACAAAAAATAAACTTGCTTTGATTTAATGGATATAATGCAGATAAACAGTAAATAAAATGCTATTCATTTAAAGGCAGAGGTTTGGTAATGTAACTTAAATTCAAAGTCATGTGACATCCGAGTCTAGACGCATTAAATGCCATGTGGTTTGATGACCCCAATCTAAATTAAAACTGAATAAGTATCTGCGCTCATCTTAACGGTCACACTGTCAACATATTATTTGTTGGATTTAAAGGTAAGAAACAAGAGTTTTATTCTGATAGCTACTTAAGAAGGATGTCCAAAGTAACAAGTTGAAGCAGGCATCGAATTCATTCCAGCCTGTATTAATCGAAAAAAGTGGTTGAAATCCAGGCAAGATTTCCTGAATCAATTTGTGTGACACTGGTCTGAGATTCGGAGAGACATCAGACTAACTATGTTTAGTCTCTACGAATCTGAGTCAAAGATTAACAGTCAGTAAGGATAAGAGCTGTTAAGAAGCCCAATGTATGTTTGTTTTTAAAATGTGTCAAACTGATGTATGGAACTTAACACAATATTCAACTGAACGTTTCTTTACCATCATCTGACAAAGTGAATATATCTGTATGTTTATCAGCATTAAAGTCCCCAAAGGCTGCTAACTTTCCTTGGACCACTGTTCCAAAAGCAGATGTGGTTATGTCTTGAATAGAATTCGATAAACAGCCATGAAACAGAAAAATAAAAGGGATAATTTGTTTCCTCAACTTCATCGTTGTCACTGTCATATGAAATGTCAATGTAACTAATCTTTTTCAAGACTGTCATAAAAAAAATTCAAAAGGACTCAAATTAATATATTATGTACATTAAAAATTAATAATTTGAATAAAATTATGAATATTATATTATAAAAAAAAGTTGGCAAAAACATACATTTATATTGTTGTTTAACATAACTTTTATAACACATCAAACACTATTTTAAAAGACTTTGATTTCTTTTAGCTGAAATTAACAAAGTACATTGTATTATTCTATTTCTCCTTCTGTTTTACCATATCTTTATTTGATAAGTTTTATTTAATGACATGTTCTAGGCATATGGTATCGGGGGTGGGTGGGATGGGGTAGGGGGTTGGTGGGGGACCTCCTTCCCCGACCCCAAACACACACTTTACCCTCAAAAAATTTTTAGTTTTAATAAAATACGAAAGTATTTATTATATATAATTCTCAAATTCCTTAATAAATTGGTCTTTTGGGTAAAGAAATAAAAGATTTTGAAAAGCTTGCCAAAAAGTGCTCTTGATAATTTTGCGACATTGATTTATAACAAGATTCCATAAATTGGTCAAAGAAATAATTTTCTTGTTTATCATAAGCTTAAATTTGCTATGTTGTATTTTTCCTAGGGATAAATAATTTTTATGCATTTTTTATGGAAGAAGTCTTCTTGTGTCGATGTCGCAAACACCAGGACAGAGGCATGGCGAGTTTGATATGTAAACTTTCAGGATCAGTATGCTTGCAAGGTCTTTTACTGAAAGAAACTACGTGTTGTAGCAGGTGATGAACACAAAGAAGTTGTATTGTGGCCGAGTAGTAAAATACAAGTGCATAGATAGGATGCTTCGCTTAAGAATCATAAATGACATTTTTTTGCTTTAGTCAGTTCGAATTTTCTCTTTCTTTTCATTCCAATTTTCAGGATCGCAATATGCAAAATATCATTTTGATGTCAATGATGATATGGATGAAAATGGTGATATGGATGAAAATGACTGATAAAATTTATTCCACCTATCATCACAACATAAATTATACCAGTAATTGTTATTTAATGGAAATGTCTTGGCCAGTTGGGAAACTGAAGACGTGTCTTATTAGTTATAATAATCTGTGTCTCGGAACAAGCCCTCATCACAGTTAAAAATCTTCCCATATACTTGCAATGTAGCAACTCAGAGCAAATCCATTCCAAAATGATTTCGAAGAATACAAAAAAAGGTTGTCCTCAGCCTGAAAAAAAACCCAAATTAATTAAAACAAACCTTTTTGAGATTTTCTACCTTTTATCCCCCCAAAGAGTATGAATGACAAACTGTTCAGATATGAATTTTGATTTTGCAGAATTTTAGTAAATCATGAACAAAAGAGATACAGAAAGAGGACAAGGAAGCCAGCGCCATGGTTTGTGACACGTAAAAGTGCACCCAGGACATACGGAATAACAGAGGAAAATCTGACAGACCTACAAGAAAAAGTATGGGAGGATGTAGCCAACATGAAAACTTCTCCAATAAGAGAAGAATACTTAGAAAAGAAGGGACTGACAGATAACATGCTTGCTAGTCTTCAACAAAATGCTGGAGAGGATTTTCAGTGGAAATATGAGTAAGTACTGTAATTTATTGACTTTGTAAATGTTAAGAATCACAATATATTACTTGAAAGCCAAATGTTTTATTAATTAAGTTAGATTAATTAAAACTTATTAGCAATACCATACAGGATTAAAACATAAAAAAAAGTTAATTTAAAAAAGTTAATGTCAAAAGTGACATATGTGGTATAAAGTAAGAAATCCAATATGTTTATATTTCTAAATAATTTTACAGCACAAAAAGAACTTTTTTACTTTAAAGATATATAGCTGTATTAGTGTTTTATTGCTAAAGAAATAAATATATGTGTTGTGTACAGTAACATACAGGTTTGTATTAACCAATATGCTACCTTTCTTAAATTCACTACTTTGACAAAGTTAAAATATGATTTAAAAAATTATATTCAAATTTTAATCATATTAAACCGAAGTCTTATTGAAATATTCATTATTCTCCTATAAAATCAACATTTGTGATATTAATTCCTTCAACAGAAAAAAAAAATTGGCATTGCATTTTCTGTTCTGAGAAAGTATAAAATGATATGATCATGATGTTGATGATAGCTTATTTTGTCAGGTAATAGATAACCATGTGATAAGATACACACCCCCAGAAGAGTTTCAGAAAACACAAGGATTATATAGTCACGTAAAATTGTCTTTGCTCTCTCAGTAGTCCTCTGCTGGTAATTACTAATTACAAAGAACTGTACAATAAGCATGGGGAAAAGCATTTACACACAGTGTCTGATTATGTGCTGCAAATTTTAGCAAAAATTGTTAATTTTATCAATGAAATCCTTTAAAAAGTATTATATAAGCATGTAAATGTTGTGTGCATACGTCTTTCTGAGAGCGTTTAAAAAACTAGCCCACTCGCAAAACACATGTAGTATTTATTTGGTGTAACCCATAAAATTTATAACTTGCTCGCCCACATGGCGAATGAAAATTCTGCAGGGGCCGAAGTCATTCGACCAGTCCCCTTACTAAAAAACAGACATTTCCACAGGTTTTTCATTCAAAACTCCCAACCAATGAAATAAATCACAGTAGCATGATCCTATTGTTCGTAAATGTCCTTCATCTTTTCCATTTAACAGTACTACATGATTTGTGAAAGCCCTAAAACGATCGTTTTTTCCTAATCCGAATTTATTTCTTCAGTAATTTGCGTAGAAAGATTACATTTTTAATAACTCCAAACTACCTATTCATATAAATTATAAGTGTTTTTACTTATTACTATTTCAGATATGTTACAGTTAAAATATTTAACATTGAAAATCTTATTTATGTACCATTGTTACTTCATCAGTTAAACTTGAAGGAGCAAATACATGTATAATACGTATTCTACCATGTAAAAAAGGATAGCAAAATTGATGCTTGAATTCAATTTTATTTCCTTTGATTAAATATTCATATGACATTTGATTTTTATAAAGTAAAAACTCCAATTTTAAACAAATGTATTTATACACAATCATATTTTATTTGTATATACTTTTGTCCCAGTATCCAAACAAAGGAACTTTTTTTTAATCACAGAAACTGACTGTGGGCTAACAAATTGAGCTGTGGGCTCCTAAATTTGAAATGTTATGAGCCCACATGGCTAGTGGAAATTTCAGTTAATTTTAAACCCTGATTATTTACGAGAACTGACAAAAAATTCATCTGCATTACATGTAATGCATAGGGGGAAATTTACTTGTAGCTTTTCAGCTTCTACAAGTAATATATTGATTTCTGTATGTTAATCTACATTGAAGAGGTTTAACTACCTGATGAAAATCGTTTTGAATGTAAAGATCTAAGATAAATATGATACCAATTAAGTGTTGATTTTTAGAACTTTAAATTATATATGATTAAGCAACAACAAAAATGCTTGGATGTTCGAAAATTATTGAAGGAAAAGGAAAATTCAGTGGTTGTATCAATCTCCTGATCTTTGATTTACCAAGCAATTCTTTCAATGCTTTGAATGTCCTCTCTTTAGTTCACCAAACAGTACAATCACTTATTCTTGGAGGCTGGGGTTGCTCCAAAGAGAAAATTGACCAGATTTTTGATATCTCCAGAATGCAGGATTGCTCCAGGTAAAATTTATAACAGAAAGTTTAAATAGTTTAAATCACTCCTTTTAAACTCATAGACATAATAATGCAAAAAGTTGCAGAGATTGACTGTGAAGAGTTTATGCTATTCCCACCTGTACTGACATCACAGTCTGCATTTTTGTTAAATTATTATACCCCCCGCAAACAAAGTTTGGGGGGGTATATAGGAATCACCTTGTCCGTCTGTCTGTCTGTCCGTCTGTCTGTCTGTCCGTCTGTCTGTCTGTCCGTCTGTCTGTCCGTCTGTCTGTGCAATCGTGTCCGGTCCATATCTTTCTTACAGAGGGACATTAGAATCTACTACTCCACACTAAGATTGCTCATGACCTAAGGGTGTGTCATGACCTTGACCCAAGGTCATTTGGGGAAGTTCAAGGTCACTGGAAGAAAAATTTCATAATTCGTGTCCGGTCCATATCTTTCTTATGGATAAACCTGGTAGGTTCTCATTTCACACAAAGATTAACCATGACCCAAGGGTGTGTCATGACCTTGACCCAAGGTCATTTGAGGAAGTTCAAGGTCACTGGAAGAAAAATTTCATAATTCATGTTTGATACATATCTTTCTTATGGATAAACTTGGTAGGTTCTCATTTCACACAAAGATTGCCCATGACCCAAGGGTGTGTCATGACCTTGGCCCAAGGTCATTTGAGGAAGTTCAAGGTCACTGGAAGAAAAATTTCATAATTTGTGTCCGGTCCATATATTTCTTATGGATAAACTTGGTAGGTTCTCATTTCACACAAAGATTGCCCATGACCGAAGGGTGTGTCATGACCTTGACCCAAGGTCATTTGGGGAAGTTCAAGGTCACTGGAAGAAAAATTTCATAATTCGTGTCCGGTCCATATCTTTCAAAATAACAAAATTTTATGTCCACAAAAACTTTTTAGACAACAAATCAACGAAATTTTATGCTCACAAAAATTTGTGCTCTCAGTATTCAGTATGTTAATCTACATTGAAGAGGTTTAACTGCATGATGAAAATCATTTTGGATGGATAAACTTGGTAGGTTTTCATTTCACACTAAGATTGCCCATGACCGAAGGGTGTGTCATGACCTTGACCCAAGGTCATTTGGGGAAGTTCAAGGTCACTGGTAGAAAAATTTCATAATTCGTGTCCGGTCCATATCTTTCTTATGGATAAACTTGGTAGGTTCTCATTTCACACAAAGATTGCCCATGACCCAAGGGTGTGTCATGACCTTGACCCAAGGTCATTTGGGGAAGTTCAAGGTCCCTGGAAGAAAAATTTCATAATTCGTGTTTGATACGTATCTTTATTATGGAAAAACCTACTTCTGAAAAACCCAGCGGGGGGTATTTTGTCCCGTTTGGACAGTTCTAGTTTTGAATCAGGTCTTTTCTTTTTTTACTGAAGCATGTTTTGAAATTATAAGCTCTCTCTGCATAATGGTCATAGCTGTGTAATATTAAATTAGATTTTTTTATTCTTAATAATAAACTCGGCTTCATCCACAACCAGATTGTGCTGAATATACATAATGATTATAACCTATATTCTCTTGACAAGTGTCAATCTCTAAAATTTTGAAGTAATAAAATTTAAATTAATGAAATACACTGTATCATTTCACAGAACAATTGCTTAACATGCTTTGTTTTTTTAAACAGGAACCAGACTTAGAGCAGATCATTTTAGAGTTGATGATTATGTTGACTGTAGTGCTAAAACGTGAGTTCATGTGTAATTAAATAAACTAAATAGATACTATGATTCATGGTATATATACAAAGTTTATTAATTTTTTTTAAAAAGTGGATCAAAATCCTTATTAAGATAATATCTTTTTTGCACAGAAAGTAATGATGAGGTATGGAGGGAAACTTCAAAACCTTCAAAATTCACTTCAATGCTAAAGTGGTGACTATATTTTATAATGATTGTTTTAGGATTGGACATGCGTTTCAAGGTGTGGTGAAGAGGTGGGGGTTCAAAGGTCAAAGTGCTTCTCACAGAGGAGGGAAAAACTGGCGCAAGGCTGGGGCCATGGGTGGAGGAAGGGTCAGTATCAGAGATCATTAACGGCAAATAATATGTGCTGAAATTTGATATGCAAAACTGATACTGAAGAATTATTTTCTTAATAATTTAGAAGAAATAGGTCTGTAGAACATGTAAACCTTATCCAAGCTAAAGTTGCATTTATATTGCAACTGTTAGAAAAAAAATGTACATTTCTTCTCTGAGCTTATGTTTTATCTAACAGCTATATGTACATGTAAAAGTAAATAAGATCTCATTGTTATAAGACTTAAGTTCTTTATCTCATTTTTAGTAACTCTAAAAAAATTCTGAAACAGTTGAAAAGTTCTGTACAATTGTCAGCGAGTTTTGATAAAAGTATCTTGAATACTAGTAGTTACAAGTACTTTGAAACTGATCTAAACTCAAAGTAGATTATTAATAAGGTCAAGGTCACAAGAAAGGTTAATGTTGAAAAATCATGCTACAAATATATGTATTAGTGGATAAGTTTTGGTTAAAATACATTGAACAGTTTCTTAGAAACTGAGACAAACTCAAAGGGAAAGAGACAGGAAATTGGAAGGACAGAACAGGGGTGTGCAATTACAAAAATTAGTTACTAGTCCGTCGGGCTAGTGGCGGTAACAAAGTTACTAGCACGAGGTTGCCAGTCACTAGCCCATTAACTACTGAAAACAATACATGTATAAGATAAGAATAAAATAAAGGTAAAAAAAACATTTAAGTTGAAATGAATAAAACAAATAATGGTTTGCGCTTTGTAATTGTCAGGTACTTCTTGAGTTCTCCCTATTTTTATCGACTACAATTGTCACTGAGACGACTGGCAATAGCAACATACAATACATATAGTTTAAAACGAATTAAAAATTATGATTTTACAAAAAAGTTAATTTGTACATCAATTCAGTTGAGGTAAATATACGTTGACTTTTGTTTTTAATAGATTTACTAGCCTGACGGGCTAACACAGTATAGATTTATAATAGCCTGACCTCTAAAATTTGTAGCCCCGGCGTCGGGCGATGGTAATTGCACACCCCTGCAGAAGACAGACATGACAAACACTATATTTCCTGGCAATATTCATGACAGGGCTTAAAACATTGAAAGTGTTGTATCAATTTGATGGTTTGCATGTGTTTTCAGTCACAAGCTGGAGTGAGGCCTGGTAAGAAGATGCCAGGTCACATGGGAATGGATTGGAACACACAGAGAGGGCTAAAGGTAAAACTGTAGGCTGGATGTCAATATAGCTCATTTCAGTATATGTATTTCACAATTCTAATTTGGGGGGATACTTTTTTTCCCTCCAATTTCTGCATTGGTATATGAAAATAGTATAATTTCAGCAAGCCAGTTATACATGTGTATTTACACAGTACATTATATGATTATAAGAATGAAAAAAAAAATTAGGTATCTTGTTGGCCCTTGCTTTTTGAAAATATTTGCTTATGATAATTATCTGAACATTTCTGTTTCCATAGATTGTGAGGATGGACACAAAATACGATGTGATTTATGTGAAGGGTATAGTCCCAGGCCCAGACCACTGTTATGTTAGAGTGATGGACACTTCGTTAAGAAACAGGAGGCACGAAATGATGAAAAATCCCCCAATCTGCCCCACTAGGTTTGAGGAGTCAGCCAAAGAATTGCCGAGTGAAATTATTTCCAAGGACCTTTATGATTTCAGAGACCCTACTATATCATTTGATAAAGAATAAATAAATTTCTGTTTGAAAATGAATAAGCATTTTTTTGGAAATTTGTTTTTTTAGCTCACCTGAGCTGGTAAGCTTTTCTGATCACCCAAAGTCCATCGTCCGTCTGTCCGTATAAAAATATACATGTTTGAAAAATTGTACAATCCAAGCATATTGATATTGAGAGAGCAGAAAAAGCACTCATTCATTAGGCCAAAATAAATTAATAGTGTGTTTCCTATAGCGTGAGAAAAAATAGAGTAGGTAGGTAGGGAAAACATTTTATTTTATTTAAACATTTTATTGGCAAGCAGGCTTACATTTTCCCCTAGAGAAATCGCTTTCAAAATATTTCTGATTAATGTGCGTATGATATGCATTTTTCAAACAGGGAAGTGATTCAGATTAGGATTTCTAACAGTAAAACTGGAATAGTTTACTCCTGGAAAGAAACTGGCAGAAAAATTTTTCAGGGTTGGCTCTAATATTCTAGGGTCAGTAAGGGAACCGGAAACACACAATTTGTTTATTTAGGCCTTATTGATACACCATTTAGTCGTGAAGGATACAACATTCAGTTTTTCTGAATTTACATTTCCGTCATTTTAGATACCCAATTCAGTCATTTTTATAGATTATGCCTTTCATTCATTATGGATATGTTACAGTAAATATGTGTAATCAGGAATTTCATGTATTTCCTGAATTTTAGGAAATCATGAAATTCCTATTCTGCTTAGGAAATACGTGTATTTACTGACTTCAGTTTGGAAATATACGTATTAACTGAATTTTTCAATACTTTTTATGCATATTTACTGACTGTGTTTTGGTGAGACAATCTAAAATATAAACAGATGCACATTACATTCAATGTTTATATCGGTTAGCTTATCGTGAATAAATAATATTTTGAATAAACCTTTATTTATAGAATAAAAAAACATTTATTTGTGAATATTACCAAAAATAAACATGACGATAAAAAATTTTAAAAAATTGTAAAAACTGGTTCAAATACATCATTCTGATGTTGAAAGCTCCAAAATAATTACTTCCTTATAAATATATTTGAATTGTTACTATCTGGGAATCCGTTTTACAAAGAAAATACCTTAAAGAAGAGACACGAAAAAGGGGTTATTGTCCTTAGAAATATTTTTGTTTAACTTATTGATTAAATGAAGAAAATGTCTATTTTTAAAATTCTTTTCCTTAACAGTATTTTTTAAACACACATGGAAAGCATTCTTCTAAAAGATATTTTTCTATTGGGTGTGAATTCAAATTAATAAAAGTTTCTGTAAAACGTATGCCATCACAGGAGGTTGGAAATATCTTAAGGCATTCCTTCTTAAGGATCATGGATACTTTGATAAGAGAGATAACTCTTAATGACATAAATGTCTATTATTCCGTTATAGATTTGTCAAGTTGAAATGTCTTTTTTGTTTAATTTTGCCCTGCAAGCTATGATCTGATTGTCTGTACATGTATTTTACTTACAAGATACATTTCTTTTGGAAAATCATAACAGTTAAAACAACCTTTGATATGAGTGAGCAGAGGGCTTATGAACCTTAAATGGGATTTTAAAAATACAATTCACCGATTGTCCGAATCTTGCCCAGAATCGGAAATTAATGTATAACGTCAGCTTTTTAGAAATCATTCTTATTATTTGCGACTTCAAAAGCATTCATACTAGTATTTGCTTACTTAAGGAATGTTTGAAAGCATATGCATGGTCAGCCAGCTTTTTTTCAGTAAAAACGTATAAAATTGGCTAAAAGCTTTAGTAAATCCATGAATTTCCTAGCTACATGTATTCAGTAATTACATGTATTTCCTAAAACGGCCAGTAAATACATGTATTTACTGGATGGTTTAGGAAATACATGAAATTCCTGATTTCACATATTTACTGTAACAGATACACCGTACAGTTATTAAAGATACACCATTCAGTCATTATTTATAGATTAAACCATTCAGTCATTAAAGATACACCATTCAGTCATTAAGATACACCGTTCAGTCCTTTATTATTTCGTAAGTTTTTAATTTACTTAAAGGGGGGAGGGATGCAAAATTCACAACACTATCATGTTGTATAAATGTGTTGCATTTACTTCCCCCTAGTAAATTCAAGATTTACATCATGATGCATTAAAAATACATCATTCCGTCATTTTAGACCAGTAATATTTGAATGTACAGAGATCAGTGGTCTTGAAATGTAACCTATATAATATAAAACTAAAGGTACTGTGAGCACTGAGCTCACGAAATGATACCCCTGCCTCAAATATGATTATAAGGGCAAAGTCCATGTTTTGTTCTGGGATACCAGAAATAAATGTCAGATAAAAAATAATTTAGGAGATCACATTGGCATTATCAGATTATGTTATAAAGAATCTATGAAGGTATCATTAAATTTTATCCATTGGTAGGAGGGGGGGGATAATAGAGGGGTACCTTTCAATATTATAGAAAGAATAGCAGTGTCCATGTTTTGCTATGGGAAACCCCAAATATATGTTGGATCAAAAAAAGGAGGTGCAGATGGCACTGTATGACAAAGATTCTGTGAAAGTTCATCAAATTTCATTAAGTGGTATAAGAAGACTTGCCGATAAGAGAGGGGTACCCCCAAAGCGTAACCAGCTGCTAACAGAACGACGGACTCCCTATCACTATATCCCTCCCACTTTTCAAGCGGGAGTATAATTATCCAAAACTGTAATTAACTACAAGTAATAAATACATACAAGTACATATTTATTATACTTATGCATGATTTATTATATTTTAAGATATTTAGATTGTGCCAAATTATATATTGTTAAGCAATCAATGTATATACATAGTACGTATAATTATTATTTCCTCCATTCCATACATTTTAGTACATATTGCATACAGAAGAAAAAGAAAAAGGCAAAAAAAGAAAGAAAAAAAGGCATGGAAAGAAACAGATTAATTGCAATGTTAATTGTTATGAGGCATTTGCCAATGCATGTAGCTTCTTGTGAAGTGGCAAAAAAAAGGTTTAACTTTCAGTAGGGAACACCTGACATTTTCCCTCAGTGACCAGCAACTTTTCAGACAATGCTAATCATATGAACATGACATCAAAAATCTCTGTCGATGAATTTACGGGGTTTCTTTGAGATTGGTTAGATGTCCAATGCTTTAATTTGAAAATTCCCCTCAGTAGTTTGAGGGTTATATGAAATATTTAAAAATTGTTACATGATCCTGATACATGCATGACTTTCTGTAACTTCTCCAATTTAATTAAACAGTACAAAGAATTTGAAATTTTTAAGCAAACAGTTCAACATGAAGAAACCTTGAATTTTCCAGAATTTACACATAGGCATCTATAGATGGATAACATTCTTTACAACAACAAGAATCAAGACCGGGATCCATAGGGAGTGGAGGGAGGGAGGGGCCGGAGGGGTGATTGCAGTGGTGTTACTGGCTCCTGGAGTGGATTGTGGAATCTCCTTCAGAACTTGATGTCACCTTCACATTCCTCAACTCTTTTCAGTTTCTTTTTAAAAAAGTATAAACTCCTATTCAAACAATTAGTAAATAAATTCAAGAAAGACTATACGATTTTTAAATATGTAATGATTTATATAAATTTTCAAGCAGTTGTCAAATTTAAAGAGAACTCTACAACATCACATCATGACCTACACGTAGTTGCAATATCAATGCATTATGATCTACATGTAGTTACATTATCAATGCATCATCACCTACACATAGTTGCAACATCAATGTATCATGATCTACATGTAGTTACAATATCCATGCATCGTAACTTACATATAGTTGCAATATGCATGCATCATTACTAACATGTAGTTGCCATATCTATGCATCATGACCTACCTGTAGTTGCAATGTCCTTGCATCATGACCTACATGTAGTTGCAATATCCATGCATCATGACCTACACGTAGTTGCAATGTCCTTGCATCATCGCCTACACGTAGCTGCAATATCAGTGCATCATGATCTACATGTAGTTACAATATCCATGCATCGTAACTTACATGTAGTTGCAATATCAATGCATCCTACATGTAGTTGCAATATCCATGCATCATGACCTACATGTGATTGCAATATCCATGCATCATGACCTACACGTAGTTGCAATATCCATGCATTGTGACTTACATGTAGTTGCAATATTAATGCATCATGACCTACATGTAGTTGCAATATCCATGCATCATGACCTACACGTAGTTGCAATGTCCTTGCATCATGACTTACATGTAGTTGCAATACCCATGTGTTAAGCTAAGAGATCAGTATAGGATCTCACATAATTTCTGGCTGGAAATGATTTTTAGCCAATGAGTTTTGTACTTTTTATCCCCGAGCCTTGCCGACGAGATACAACACACAGCTCGTTAAAAAAATCATACCTAACCACAAACCATGGGAGATAAACAGAATTATGTATCTTAGTGTAGTCTACTTGTATGTCAAGTTATATTGAAATCTAATCAAACCTGTAGGAAGAGTAACAATTTGAAAGTATTTCAGAGAAATTTCTATTTTTAGTAATCACGGCAACACCGTTCATCGAAATTAAAAACCGACATACAGAACTATGTATCTTAGTACATGTATAGTCTACTTGTGTACCATGTTATAGTGAAATCAGACCAAAACTGTAGGAGGAGTAGCATTTTGAAAAAAAAAATGTTTACAGACAGACAGACGACGGACACCTTACTATTGCATAAGCAATCTCCCATGCAGCTCTCAGACACGCATGAGCCGATAGAGAGTGTTGCATTAAGCTCTTCTGGTCTCTGATCAGTAGAGCTAACAACAACAACAAAAAGGAATGATATTACATATTATATTATGTATAGTATCAATTTTTTTTATGCCCCCATAAACGAAGTTTCGGGGGTATATAGATTTTGTTGTGTCCGTCCGTCTGTCTGTCTCTCTGTTTGTCTGTTTGTCCGCAAAAACATTAACCTTGCAAATAACTTTTTATTC